TATATATATAATTATAAATAATAATCATATCAATATTATTAAAATGAAATTTAAACTATACATCTTCTTCTCTTTACTTACATTACATTAAGCTACAACATTTTCAACTATAAAATGTACTTGTGAACAATTACTATCCCAAAATGACTGTTTGACTAATAAATGTACATGGGATTAAAATAAATGTGTCATTAATTTAGATACTCCTGTGGAGATTAATACAATTGTTACATATTGCACACAATTTGAGGATTAAATTTGTTAATAATAGATTGGTTGTGCATGGATTGATAAACAATGCATTCCTTTCATTGGTTGTAGTGCATATGCATATACAGGACATGAGGAATGCCAATATATTTCAAATAAATGTATTTCAGATGGAGTGCATTGTATTGATTTAGCATAGTGCTAAGCTTATAAAACAGAGATAGCATGTGTAAAGAATACAAATAATAAAGTTTGTTATTGGAATATAGATAAATGTTAAGACATTTAAGAGTGTTCTCAAATATCAAAAACATTATAAAGTGATGAAGAATGTAGATTTTAAATGTCAAAATGTACAGTTTCAGAATAAAGTGGTTGTGTAGATAGTGGAGATGCATGTTCAAATTAGAAATTAGAGAAATAATGTATTTGGGATAAAAGTAAATCATAATCTTGTGCATGGATTAGTGATAAATGTGTGAGTAGAATATGTTAGAATGCTCCTGTAACTTATACTACATTTGAGTAATGTAATGAATTTCTGTCTACTTGTACTGCTTAATTAAATGGAGGATGTATAAATATAAGTTCTTGTGAGAATATAAAGGTTGAATTGGGTTGTGTTATGAATATGAATAAATAGCCATGTATTTGGATTGACAACAATTGTTTAGATAAATAATGTTCGAAAGCTCCTGTTAAATTCAATACAAATGAATTATGCAAGAAAATAAATAATAATTGTATAACAACATTAAATGGATGTGTAGAGTAATTATCTTGTGAATCTTCAAAAACATAAATAGGTTGTATAGATATGATAGATGGTACTAAATGTTATTGGAATGGATCTAAATGTGTTGATAAAACATGTTAAAATAACACAACAATAAAGACTGAAGCTGAATGTCAATTATATTCTAATAATTGTATTTTAAATGTTACAGTTTAAAGTGGTTGTCTTGACAAAATTTGTGAAAATATTGTATAAGCTGAATAATGTACAATTGATAAGTTCAATAATAAGTGTTCTTGGAAGAGTACTTGTTTTACTAAGAGTTGTAATACAGCTCCAAAGACATTCACAACAAATAATGAATGCTAATTATATATGAATTCTTGTGTTTTAGATACATCTGGAAATGGATGTATGAATATAAGATTAACATGTTTGGGATATGTATCAGAAAAGTCTTGTTTAATAACGAAAGGTGGATAATATTGTCATTGGTAGGATAAGTAATGTATTGATAGAACATGTAGTATGGCTAGTGTAAGTATGAATAGTACTTAACAATGTTAAATATTTAAACCAGATTGTATTTTATCTAACAATTCTCGTGGATGTATGGATATGACATAAAATTGTGAAGATAGAAAATTATAAGGTAATTGTTAATATGGTGATAAACCTATTTGTATATGGAATATAAATAGATGTGTTATATAATCATGTGAAACTGCAAATATAGTTGGTTCACCAAATTATTTGAGTTATTTTGATTAATAATCTTGTCTTTCATATATGGATAATTGTATACCAAACAATTCAGGCAATGGATGTATTACAAAACCATAATCATGTACTCAATTAAGTATTAATAATTGTATTATTGCATAATAAAATGATTGTATTTGGATAGGTGGATAATGTAAAGATAAAATATGTATAAATCTAATTGGATCTTCTCATTAAGACTGTTAAATATAATTATCTAATTGTACAGTAAATGGAAATTTAAATAGTTGCATTCCATTATCATCTAAATGTTCATCTTATACTTAATAATAATAATGTTATTTAACATCTAATAATGTATAATGTACTTGGAATGGTACTCAATGTAGAGATGCTATATGTAGTGATGCTATTGATTCATCTGATTATGATACATATGAAGAATGTAATTCACTCAATTCTATTTGTACTGTTGTTAGTAAAGTAGGATAATAAGGATGTGTAGAGAAATATTCAACATGTGAAAGTTACAATTAATAATATTAATGTCATTCATCATCCAATTCTATTAAATGTATTTGGATTAATAATTCATGTTAATAAGTTTAGAATTTGACTTGTGGAGATATCAAAATTGCTATATATGATGATATTAATTGTAGTAATATATTATCTAATTGTAAATCAAATATAACTTAAACTGGATGTATTAATAAAGCATGTACAGATTATAATTATACTACTAAAAGTGATTGTGAATAATTAACAGGATGTACTATTAATGCTGATTTTAATAAATGCATAATTAAATAATAAAAATGTTCATCTTATAGTTCTGATTCAACTTAATGTAAATATTCTGAAGAAAAAGGTGAATGTATAATGATTGGTCTTGATTGTTTACACACTCATTTAGAATGTAATACAATTACAAATCCTATAAATGATAATGATTGTTTTATAAAAAGATCATTTTGTAAAATGTAGGTAACTGATTAAGGAAATAAATGTATTTAAAGAAATTGTAATGAATATAGTGGTATTACTCCAACATCATTTAGTATTTGTTAAGAATATGATTATTCTTGTATTAATACTAGAGATAATAATGGATGTATTGAAATGAAATAATATTGTAATGATGCAGTAGATGCTTCATGTGTTTATGCAAAAGATGAAGGACTTTGTAAATATAATGGTACAAGTTGTGTAGCTGTTGCTACTGCCAATACTAAAAATTGTAATTTGATTGTAGAAGTTGGACTTACTTATCAGAAATGTTAAGAATATTCAAATAATTATTGTAGTGTAAATAGATCTAATTCTGCTTGTGTGAATATTAAACCATAATGTTCTGAATATACTAATATATAAGATTGTTATTAATCAACATCAGGTAGATGTATTTAAAGTCAATAAAATGATATTGGTGCATTATGTATTAATGTAATCGATTCAACTTAATGTAATAAATTATTTATTGGATAATCTAGTATTTACAATCAATCTATTTGTGAATCTTTGAAAAATACTTGTACAAATAATTCAAATTCTGGTTGTAAAGATAAAACTTGTTAAAATACTAATACATTATTTACTACACATGATCAATGTAATAATTGGTTAAATATATGTACTATTAATACAACATATAATGGATGTATTGAAATGAAATAAACTTGTTTAGAATAAAATATTAATTCTTGTTTATAAGCAATTGAAGGTTAATGTATTGTATATGATAATAAATGTATGAAATTTACATGTTAAAAATTGTCTAATACATTAACTACACATACACAATGTGAAACAATAAATAATTAATGTACTGTTGCAACATTTGGAGGATGTATTGTTAAATCTAGTAATTGTAATAATTACAAAACATTATTATAATGTCAATTTAGTCTAGATGGTAAGAAATGTTGGTGGAATCAATATAATATGACATGTGTTAATTTATAATGTAATTTAATTGAATAAACTACAGATTATAATACACATAATAAATGTTATAATGCATCTTCATTTATTAAATGCACCTTATCATCAAATGGAATTGGTTGTCAATAATTAAAGACATGTACTGAATATACAATACAAGGATAATGTGTTATTGATAAATATAATAAATAATGTGTTTGGAATGATAATTTAAATCCTAGTATTTGTTAATTGAAATCTTGTGAAGCTGCATCATATACATTTACAACTCATGATGAATGTTAAGCATTTGATTCAATTTGCACAGTCTAAATTAAATATAATAATGATACATCTACTTAAAATTATAGTGGTTGTTAGAACTTAAATATAAATTGTTCTGATTATTAATTTGAATAATAATGTTACTTAAATAAAAATAATAAATTATGTAAATGGATAGATAATTAATGTATTGATTTTGGTTGTAAAACTGCTCCTCAAACATCAGATTATTCTACTCATGAAAATTGTTAATCTTATTTAAATACTTGCACAGTTAATTCTGATTTATTAGGTTGTATGACAATACCAAATAATTGTTCAGATATCTTCTATCAAATTTAATGTATTAAAGATATTAATAATAATGAATGTTATTGGTATGATTCAAAATGTCAATTAAAAACATGTGAAAATGCTCCAAATGATAAAAATACTAAAACATTATGTGAATAATGGTTACCATAATGTACTGCTGAAGATACTAATAAATGTAAAACCATCACTTGTGAAGACTATCCATATACTACTGATTTAGAATGTAGATAATAAATGTCTTATTGTACAACTGATGGTATTAAATGTGTAACCAAAGGTTTATGTGCTTAAGCATTAAGTGAAATTGCATGTGATAAATCAATCAATAATGAATAATGTTATTGGAATAAGACTTATTGTACTTTAAAGCAATGTAATATAATAACCAAAGAAATTGATTGTACTAATAGTTATAATAATATTCAATGTATTTGGGATAATAATAAATGTAGAAACATTGGTGAATGTTATGATTATAATGGTACATCTCATAAAGAATGTTAATCTATCAATAAATTATGCACTATTGATGATAACAAAAAATGTAGAAAAATTAGATTATGTAATGATTATTCAAAATAAATATAATGTATATTGGGATTAGATGGACCCTGCTTATGGATTCAATAATTAAATATTTGTCATTAATATACATCTTGTAATAGCATTAAGTTTCAAACACATAATGAATGTTAATAGATTTCAAAATTATGTACAACAGATGGTCTACAATGTGTCCCTCTTACTCTTTGTTCTGAAACCAATACTAATGGAGGTTGTGTTGAAGGCATTGATGGAAGTTGTATGTAAACAGTACCTGCTTTGAATTCAATTCAACCACCAATTTGTAAACTCTTTACAAGTTGCCTAGAAGCATATTATATAACTCATAATGAATGTCAAAATGCCAATAAAAATTGTACAACTAATGCAATGAGTGGTTGTATTAATTTGATGGAATGTTCATAATATCAGAGATAAGAATCTTGTTAATTAGACATTAATGGAGTATAATATCAAGACAATCTTATCATTTCCACAGGTAAATGCATTTGGGATAATGGTCTATGCAGAAATTAAATTTGCTCTGATTTTAGTGGTATTACTAATGAACAATGTAATAAGTTTTTATCAACTTGTACATTTAATGGAGTGAAATGTATTCCAAAATAAAATTGTTATTAATATACTTCATCAACTATGTGTAGTATTGCTTATGGAATAGAGGGTAAATGTAATTGGAATGTAGCACTTGATAAATGTTTAAAATTAACTTGTGATGATATTTAAAATGGAACTACATTAGCATTATGTTAGAAGACTTTATCTAATTGTATTACCAATGGAGTAAATTGTATTAATAAAGATACTTGTTCTAGATACATTACTAAAATTGCTTGTAATGTAGGAGGTACAGATGGTATTTGTGTTTGGAATGCTAAAACTTCTATATGTTCTTTAATGATGTCATGTACTCAAGCTGATAATGATTAAGAAGCTTGTTTATAAGCAAGTGATAGATGTGCTATCAAATATGCTACAAGTCAATCTACAAGTTCTTGTTATACTCATACTTGTGAAACTTATTTAAATAGTAATGGTTTATGCAAATCTTTCTATAATTGGAATTATTCTTCAAAAACAGCTTGTTCTTTTAGTTAAGGTAAATGTGCTGAAATTGATCTCTCTATACTTACCGAATAACAATGTTTAACAACTTCAGAGTATTCATTTACTTGGAATACAAACAAAAACATATGCCAATCATGTATTGCCCAACCAAATAATAATAATAACAATAGTAATCAAACGAATACAAGTTCAGATGTTATAACACCTACTTAGACTATTGATTTTGGATATATGATACAAAGTATAATGTATCTCTATTTGATTTCTAATTGATCTATTGAATTTTTAAATAAAATTATCTTTCTCTCCTTTATATAAATATTAATTAATATATATTATGAATTTAGTATCCTTTTAATATATTAATATATATAAATTACTATTTCTATTGATTTAAAGGTGGATGATTTGTATTCAAAAATAATATTAATTGATTCTTCTTTATTTATTATAATAATACATATTCATAATAATAATAATTTAATTATATGTAGGAGATTGATTCAGATATTAATTAAAATTAAATTATGTTAACAAAAAGTATAAGATTATTCAGACAATTTAGATTTTGTTCAGCTATGGAAGATATTACTAAAAAATAGGCTGAATGGTCAGCCATAGCAAAATAAAAAACATAATAGTAATTTAACCATTAATGTCAAGACAATAAGATTATTTAGAATAAACATTATCATAAGACCAAAAATTAAGAGTAAAGACTATAGCAGATGCTTGTTGTGAACTAGATCTCTTTGAATTGTAATGTTTGATGAGCTTGTTGAATGAAAATCACTATAAGGCTCAAGGAATTGGTCTCTTTGAGATTGATTCAAATTGGCCTGTAATCAAACAAAATGAAGTACCAACATGGCCTCCAAAAGAAAAAGAACAAATAGAAGCATATATGAAAGACTTATTTGGAGAGAATGTCGTAAGATCATAATTAAATATCTTAGCCTGATTTCAAAGCTATTTTTGGTGGTGTAGGATCAATTGCTAATCAAGCACCAGCTGCTACTTAAAGTGAAGCTCCAAAATAAGAAGAAAAGAAAGCTGATGCTGCACCTAAAGTTGAAGCAGAAGTAATAATTATTAAAATAAAATAAAGAAAAAAAATTATGATATTGAATTGAATGCAATTGATGCAGCATAGAAAATTAAGATCATTAAAGAAGTTAGGTATTCAATAAAAAAAATCAATATAGATAATTACTCAACTTAGGATTGAAAGAAGCTAAAGATTTAGTTGAGAAATTACCTGCCAATTTAGGTAAGTAAGTACCAAAAGAGAAAGCCAATGAATTAAAAGAAAAATTAACAGCTGCTGGATGTACAATAAGTTTGAAGTGATAATCACCAATATATATAAAACATAATTTCATAAATTTGACAATAATTCTTTAAATTCTTTCAAATTTAATGGTTTTGATAAAACATAAGTCATCCCTGCATCTAAACAATTTATTATATCTGATTCACTTGTAAATGCTGTTAAACCTATGATTTTAATGCAAGGAATCTTCTATGTTTATATCATTTCTAATATAATTTTTGTTGTCTCAATCCCATTTAATATTGGCATTTGATAATCCATCAATATTACATCAAATAATTAACAATTATCACAACACTTTTTTTATTAGTTCAAAACATCTATTGCTTATTATCCATTAAAAGCCTATAATAATAATATTTAATACTAACCACCAAAACTTCAAAATCTAATTTCTTTAACAACATACATAAAGAATGTTAATTAAATATCTCATCATCAACTGAAAGTATCTTTCTACATTAACATCGCTTTTTTTAAACAAAATTCAATAGATTTTATTAACTTTCTTAATCTTCCAAAAATTTTAACTATTTTATACTTAAAACCTATGATTAATGATTTCTACTCCACTTTTAATCCTTAAATTATTGCTATATTGAGGGAGAATCCTTTGATTTTCTTATATGTCTAAAATTAATATCTGAACTTGAATCCAAACTTTGAGAATAATTTAAATTACTGATCAATTTAGGATCTGATGTTTGTAATTCTTTAACTTTACTATTTAAATTCAAAAATTCACTTGATTTATCTAGTGATATCATATCAGTATAGAATTCTTTTGTTTTAAATTAAGAAGTTATTATATCATTATTCTTATAATTAGATATCCTCTTAACTGAAGTAACAATTACAGTTCCAATTTATACTATATTCTATGAATGAATTTTTGTTCCCATTCTAACCAATTTTCTAGTAGGTGTAATTGATTATCCTTTATTTTAATCATCCACTAAAATTGTAACTTTTGTTCCTAAATTCTTTCCTTGACTTTTAATTTATAATAACTATTTATTTGTATTAGTAGTACACAGCTTTGTTAATAATATGGATGATACTAAAAGTCCAAATCCATGCCAGCCTTTATTAAATATAAAATCAGATGTTTCCTAAAATTAACATAAAGTTCTCTAAATTCTTTCTAATTTTTCTTATTCAATTCCAATCCCCTAATCTTTTATAGATATTTTTAAAGTGTTCTAATCTACTGATTTAAATTTAACAGTAACATTACCACTATATGAAAACTTTAAAGAATTTGCTAAAATATTCACTATGATTTATATTAAGCGATTATAATCAGTATTAAAAGTTGAGAAATTATTTTTTAGCATTACTATTTGTAAACCCATATTCTTCATCTCAAACTACTATTAAAATAATCCACTAATTTCATTGATTAATTCTTTGAATGTAAAATCCTTTGTTTGGAGATACAATGAATTAGCATAATAGTTTGAAAAATCAATTATGTCATTTATAATGTATGACTATAATTTTAATGAGTTGAATGCTGGCATTAAATATTGATTTTTGATATAATTATCAATTTTTGATTCAGAGATTGCTGATTCTATTAAATTTTTAGCACTATTTAAAGGAGTTTTCATTTCATGAGAAAATGATTCTATAATTTTTGATTTGAAATCATTCTTGATTTTCTATTAAGATAATTCAGTCTATTTTGAAATATCATTTAAAAAAATAGTGATCTCTTAATTATCACTAATAATTTATCCACTTAAAGAAATAGGATTAGATTTCTATAACTTAAGAGTACAAGATATATCAAGAGCTTTGTTACTTGAAGCTTATATCATTGAATCATAAAATCCTTATTTATATTCTTTGATAATTTGTTCTAAAGTCTTAGTCTATATTGCTATAACCTACTTTGTAGACTCTAAATTTTTAAACTCTCTGCAAGATGGATCTCTTTGTTTGTCTCTTAATCTTTTCATCTAAAGTGAAGCTGTTTTAAAGACTTCTGTACATTATTATGGTATCTAAAAATTTAGTTCGGATAAAATAATTTTTTATAATTCATCCTCAATAGCACATTTAAACAATTTAATAAAGCATTAATTAATGTATTTAACACATAAATTAGAATAATCCAAAATAAGTACTTATACATTCATATCTTAAATTCTCTATCTCCAAATATTGTCACTTGTTTTTGTATAATCTGGGAGAGATTATAATTCATTTAGTTATGATTATAAATATTGATTTTAATTTTATACTTAGTCATAGCATTGAATAAATTTTAAAATATCGATTCCTATTAAAACGAAAGAACAAATAAAACTTATTGGATTAATCTAAATCAAGCAAACTGATAATATAAGACTTAATTTTCCAAGAATATTAGTAAGTAGAGCAATTTTAGCCAAGTATTGATCTGTTTTAATTTCTATTGGATAACACATCTAAATGGATAAGAATATACAATTAGGTAATTATATTATTGAAATTACAACTATTTAAAGTATTCTATCCACAAACATCATATTCAATATTATATTTGGAGTAATTTTATTCTTTATAAGATACAACAGACAGAATATGAAAATGTTAAATATTATTTTCAAAATAATAACAATTAGGCTAGTCATTATTTCTGTCAATTCTTAAATTAGACTAATATTTAAGACTATTTGTATTGCTAATAGGAAAAGATTAGTCTAAAGAAATATATCTTTAGTTGATTATTTCTTGTTCATGATGAGTGATTTTAATGATTCTATGAAAATTATTATTATTAAAATTAATATTAATCAAATCAAAGTAAGGACAATTTATTGATATTATAGCAAAGTGTATAATAATTAAATTTTAACAGTAAAATCATTAATTTTTTTTCAAAAACATAAAGTATAAATATAAAAATGGTATTGGTTTTATCAAATTAAAGTGAGAATTTCTTTAAATTCTTTTAGATTAAGTGGTTTATGTAACACATCGCTCATTCCTGCTTTTAAACAATTTTCAATATCATTTGAATTAGTAAATGCAGTTAAACCAACAATATGAATTCTAGGTATAATATTGTCATTCATCATCTTAATTAATTTCTCTGTGGCTTGACATCCATTAAGAATAGGCATCTAATAATCCATTAAGATGAGAGTTAATAATGTACATTTTTTACTACATTTTTTAATATTTAAAATATCAACACATGCTTATTGTCCATTAAAAGCCTAAGATAAAAAATAATATTTTTTACCAAAATTACTTCAAATCCTAATTTACATAATAACATTTATATTGATTTTTAATTGAATATTTCATCATCAACAGACATAATTTTTTGACATTAACATTTTTTTCTTCTTTTATATGTTTAAAGTAATTCTTCATCCTCTTATTCTTCTGCTTATTTTATAAATTAAATGCTAAGTATTTTTGAATTATTAGATCTTTATGATGAATTTTCATTCTTACTAAAATGTCTTCTTTCAATTACTTTTTAAGGGGAACTACTTATTATATCAGTAATTAAAGATGGTTAAACAGGATATAATAAACCAAATTTTTAATCTAATGAATCATATACAACACTTTCACTAAACATTGAATTATCATTTGATCTCTATGAACAAAGTTTAGTTTTTTATTATTTTGAAATATTTTTCATTCCTTAATCTGTTGTTTATATTATTGTACCATTTAAATTATTAAGTGATGAAGTTAAATGAACAGAACTTTAAAATCTTTATGTATTTTATCTAATTGTAGGTTATTTAACACTATTAAATTTAGCTTATAAATTCCTAATAAAAAAAGATACTTTTGAACCCATATTGATACCATCAGATTCAAATTTAATTGTACTCTTATCAGATGGTCCTAATTTAGAAACTAACATAGCTGAAATCAATAATCCAAATCCTTACCAAGTTTTATTTAATTATATCTCTTTTTGATTCTTCAAATTATTTAAATATGATTAAATCTATGTTATATTTATAGATGAAACACCTTATCCCATATCAGTAACTGTAAATTTCAGAATATCTTTAGTATGAGATTAGATTTTCAAGACAATCAATCCTTCAGTTGAGAATTTGATAGAATTTTGTAATAAATTCACTAAAATTTACATTAGTTTAGTATAATCACTTGTTACTGTAGTAGTACAACAATCCATTAAATCTACTCTAAATTCAAGTTGTTTTTCAGTAAATTACATAGTAAATAATGAAGTAATTTCATTAATTAATTCTCTCATTGAAAATTCTTTAATTAATAATTCTAAATTATTTGTACTTGAAGATGTAAAATCAATAATATCACTTATTAAATATGATTAAATTTTAAGAGAATTTATTGCTGGAACTATATATTTATTTTTAATTCTTTCTGAATCATCAGAATCTTATAAAAAAGCTGATAAAAAATTGATGGCTCCATTTAATGGGGTTCTTAATTCATGTGAAAATGATTCTAAAATCTAAAATATAAAAATGAATATATATATTTACTTTAGATTTAAATTCATCTTCTGATATTAATTATTATAATTCATTTTATTTGGATATATCATTTAATAAAAGTATTATTTCTTCATTTTATTAATTAGTTAAAATAGAACCAGATAATTAGAATTTCTTCTATTGAGTATGATTTGTATTTGCATTCTCTACAAGTCCTTAATAATTTTAATGACATAATAATTCTAATGAATTATTTATTATATATTCTTAAAAAAGACCTTCAGAAAGATTTGATATGATTTCAGCTAATGTAAATTTAAGTGTATTATGTTCCAATGAATCTGCCTATCTTGAAGATATACATTATAATCCTGAGGATCCTGAAATTGGTGCTGGTGTAGGACAATTTTGATTCTCTTATTAAAAGAAACGATTTTATTTGCTTCTTAATCTTTAACGAATTTTTAAATACGAAAAGGATTGACAAATTTAATCTATATTATCTTAGACTAAATTAAATTATAACTTACGGAGAAGAAGATCCTCAAATTCTTAATCATTTTCACAAAATAATGAAAAGAATTAATGTGCAGTTTTATTTTTGAAATTGATTTTTTGAGTTCTTGAATTTATCATTACAAATGATACAGGAATCATTTAAATTCTATTTTTCCACAAATTATCTTATTCTTATTAAGAAATTAAACTTTAAGCTAATGGTGTTTATTATTTTTAACTATATTGTTATATTTGTTTGACTTGAGATAATCTATTCAGTTCCAATAAAAATTAGAAGGATACAGAAATGATTGATATTAAATCGAAATTGATTATCATGATAAATAATGTAATTGCTCTAGTTGCAATTATTTCAAAGTATCGAAAGTACTTTTTATCAACTTCTTATACTTCAAAGGTATGCAATAACATAATTAAAGCACTCTTCAATTAAATGTCTAGTAATGCTATCATTAATAATGTAGAGAGCCTACTTATAAATATACATATTTTCTTAAATAGTAGAGTTTTATTAGTAAGTGCAATCATTTATGTTGTAACAGCAAAAATGGTATTTAGAATACAAACAGTAATTGTAAATATGAGTTATGAGTCATATTAAACGATCATGAGTGCGTTTATAGTTAATTAAAAACAAAAAAAAATGGCAATTGAATGATCTCTTTGGAAAATATTCCATATATTTTATTGTTTTGGAGAAAGCAAGTAAGTACCATTCATCTCTAATTATTTCATTTTCACTTTTTAAATAATTTATTCTTCTTTAATATAATCTTAATGAAAATAATAATAATATTATATATAGTTTATTCCATTTGGGGACCCACATATAGAAGACTTACTTACTCATCTTATAATTCTCAAAATACAATATATTGAATTTAGAATTATTCTAAAAAAGGTTATTATGCAAATGGTTAAATAAATAAAGAATGTGAAAAGTAATATATAAATAATGATTCTTTATTCCTTTGATTAACTATTTTATGGAGGTTTTTTTTATAAATTATATAAATATATAAATTCAATCCTAATTAATAGCCTTACTTTGATTTTTTAATTTCTCAAATAACGTCTTAATCTATTCTTCATTATCTACTATTTCTTATTTAAGTGATTCAAATAATGACTAATTAAAATTGATTTCAAGAGTTTTGGTAATTCATTTTTTAAGAATTTAGTATTGAAATATTAAAACTTATCAATTCAAATTAATAAGTATATTCTTGGATTATTTATACTAAGGCATAACCCATATTATGTTATTAATTCTCTCAAACTTATAATTGAATTAATCAAACTCACTATGCAAAAAACTAAATTTTTTAATCAAATTTAAATTCCACATATTTTTTAAATTAAACACTACTTTTTTATTTCAAAATTTGCACATCTTCATTCAACATACTATGGGTATCCTTTATATCAGAACCATTAACTATTAATATAGTTTATATTCCATTTTAATTTTGTAGCTATTCTAAAGATATAGGAGTAAATGGTTGATTTGAACTTATAAACTCTTAGTTTCTATCATCATAATTCTTTTTTTGTTAAATTTAACATGTATTTTTTAATTACTAAATTTTACAACACTATTCCCTTTTTAATACATAGATGTTTGAATTCTAATTCGTTTGAGATTTGGCTTTTCTTAAAATATTATATTTAGTTGTCTAATAAAAGATTAGGCATAACTAACTTGAATAGTTTCTTGTTTTAAAAAGTACAAGAGAACATCTTTTTATAATAAAATTTTGACTTTTCACCACAAATCTTAATTCATTTTTAGTAGATCCTAATCTTTTATTTGATGGTAAATCCAACATCTCAAAGAGGGAGCCAAAAAATGATTTTCCATCTTTAATTATATAATTAATTAAAAAGTTTTTACTTTAAACATATATATATATTATTCTAGATATTTAAATTATTTTCATACAATTTCACTATTAATGACAACATTCATTATTTTATGAGAAAATCTTGTGTTTAGAATTAATAATTATTAATAAAATACATAAATTAATATTTATTTTAGAATAGAAGATTTACATAATCAAAAAGAGATATGAATAAATCAATTATGAATTATATATTGAAAATTAGTGAATTTCAAATCAATAAAGATGGATCAACAGCACATTGTTTCCTCATATCTTTGTTAATCTTGATTTGGAGCTGAATTTAGCTTGTTGAAAGCACCATTTTATTATTAAGGGAGTTTTTCTAATTATTCTTTAATTGTTTTGGCAATTTATTAAAAGGTATCATTAATGTTGGTTCCATCCTTTGCACTAGTTTCAAAGTAAGGTATATTGTATTTTTAAGCCATTTTAAGAGCTTATTCATAGGTAATGCATCTATCTGGAAGATCTGTTTTGTTTCCTAAGAATAATAATAATATTATAAATTCACCTATTAATACTTTAATGATATTGTCACTTGCATGTTATTTAATTTGATTCATCCATTTATCAATATCATTAAAAGTTTCTTTGTCATTAACTGCAAAAACAAGTATAATCCCCATTGCTCCCTTATAATATGTTTAAGTAATAGTTTAATAACGTTCTTATCCTGCAGTGTCCCAAATTTACATCTTAACAACTTTTTCATCTACTTATATTTTTTTGATCTTAAAATCGATTCCTTATAGATTGTAAAGAGTAGAAAATACCTATTGTACTAAGAAATGAAGTTTTAAATTGATTTTCTGTATATCTCAATAAAATTTGAGTTTTTCCAACTCCAGAATTTCCAATGAGTAAAATTTTGATCAATAAATCATATGTATCCTTTGCCTTTTTCACAAGTGATGACATTGTTAATTTTAATAATATAAATGTTTTGAATATTAAATTAACTTCTATAATTTACAATTTAAAATAGTACAAATATAATAATTGATATCAAATATTAAGTCGATTAAAAGTGTCAATCAACAACTCCTTTGTAGCAGGTTTAATAAGAACACTATTAAATCCTTCATTTATACTCTTCTATTAATCTTTGATACTACAAAAACCAGTAACAGCAATAACAGGAATAGTTCTAGTAAGATGTATTTCATTTTCTATTTATCGTATTCTTTATACAGTTTCCCATCCATTCATCATTGGCATATTGATATCCATTAATATGCAATTATAACCAATACAATATGATGGATTGCATCTCTTATCCAATTGATTTTGAACCTTTTCAATTGCTTATTTTCCATTATAAGCAAAATCTATTTCAAATCCCAATTATTTTACCATATGTGAAAGTACTTAAATATTAAATTCTTCATCATCAACAATAAGAATTATTTTACAACTACATTCATTTAATACTATATCAAGCTGAATCTCTGATTAACCCTATTTCTCTGTAATCTGAATATTATTACATTTATTGTAATTCATCACACGTACTTATTAGGTACTTTAAGCATCTACATTTGGAATTGTATGATTATTTGATTTTTATAAAAAATTTGAATTTTGATTAGATTCTTCATAATATTTTAGTAAGAAATTAAATTAAGTTCCTTCATCTTATGTTGATTCAACAGAAAGATAATTTTAACTTTTTGGAGACATCAATTTTATAATTTGTTTACTGACAGACAAACCTATACCGATTCCAACTGAATGTTTAGATACCTTTTCATCTTCATCAGTTAGATGTAACTACTCTAAATTAAAAGGAATACCTTCTTTCTTAAAATGCTTAATTCATTCTCTGTCATTCCTATTCCTGTGTCATTTATTTACACTTCAAGAAAATGATTGTCCTAAAAATTAGCAGAATTTATATCTATTCCTTCCATTGATTCAATATACTCTTATTTTTAAACTATGATAGTTATACCACCTTTGTAAGTGAATCTAATTGAATTACCAATCAAATTCAATAACACTTAACATAATCTTTATCTATCTCCACTAATAATATATGAATTTTTAGGTAATTCTACATTTATTATTAATGATTTTCTTTCAATTTGATTTCTAAACAAATCTACACATTCTAAAATAACAGTATTTATTTCAAACTTATCTTATTTCAATTAAAAACTATCTTCTAAAATATTTCTATAATCAAAGAAATCATATATCTTATATTATTATAATTTTGTGTAACTTAATGCTTATTCCAATTAGATATGACAAGATTCCTATTTAAATAATTTATCTTAACTTTATTTGATAAACCCATAAACAGCATTGAGATTAGTAAGTAATTCATGTGAAATAGATCTTAATAGATTCTTTTTAATTGATTCTAATTTTTTTAATTTTGTTTTTAATAATACTTAATTGACTTCATGAATGAAATATATTTACAATTCATCATCATTATCAAATATTCTACAATTTTCTAATACATTAATTAAGAATTTCATTTTTTGAACATATACTGGTTTTGTTTTATTTAAGAAATTAACTTCTTAATCAAGTAGAGATTACTTATGACCTGAATTCTTATATTCTTTACTATTCAATAAAAAATCAGCTGATATTTTTCTACTTGAAACCATATAATTAGGTTATTTTTATGTTTTATTTGGTAGATTAGATTTTTTGCGTTGACTCTTCTTACCAGCAGATTATAAAGGAAATTAAAGTGGATTATTAACTTCAATTCTAATTGTTACATCTGATGTAAATGTTTTTTAGATAATGGATTCATCTTAAGGATTTTTAAATGATTGGAAAAACTTTTAAAATTGTACATGATTTTTAGGACGATCTGTTGGAATCTCAAGAGATAAGGCTTTAGAATATTATATTGAATTCTTATCTTTACTATAAGTCACATTCTTAATTTTATACTAATCATCAAGATACAAATCATCATCATCAAAATCAAATTAAACAGCATTTTAATTATTATTTAATTCATCTAATTGTAAATTTTACAAGAAAGTTAATTAATTTTTAGTAAAATTGTTAGCTCCTGATTTTTCTGGAGATTAATCAGTTTCAGATTGATTTGTACTCTCTAATTTATTAGCTAAATTATCGAATACTTTATTAGAATATAGTAGCCAATTTTTATCTTTATGTGCAATACACATAGCTTAAGGTGTAGAATCGATTATTAAAAATAATGCCTATAAATTAAGGAAATGCTACATTTATTAAAGCTCTTTTCTAATAATTTACATGAATAAGAGTGTGATAGTCAAATATAATCCTTCATAAGATTATAAATCTGCGAAGTACATAGTTTAAATTAAATATATTATTATAGCTATTACTTTCCATAATATTGTAGAATACATGCTTTAGAAAATTACACAAATAGCTGTGTAAAATATTAAGTAACTTTCATTTATAATAAAGTAACAAAGGATACTTAAGCATTCCTGTTATATTAAAGGTACAAGTTATAATAAATATGATTCTTTATATATTATCCCTGGAAGACATAAAAATATGATTAAATGAACCAAAATCTGTAGTCCCAAAATGATCCATAATATTAAGTTATTAGCAACAATTGATAATTTAATGATGATAAATATTATTTACATTATCAATAATGGTCTAAATGAAAGATCTGCCCATTAAGTATAGTTATGCCATTTCCATTATTAATATTATTAGTTTTAAAAGGTCTTTAGATATTTAAGTATTGTCTTATAAAGAGTTTAACATTTTAGCATTGAACTATTAAATAAAATATTTATAATAGTTTATATAATCAGATGATGTGATAATATAATAATATCTTTAAATTAATTTAATCTCTCACTTATTTTTTAGAATCCTCAAACTTATAACAAAAAATGAAAGAAGAAGACAATAGTATAATTAAATAAGTAAATTCAATAAATAATAAATTAGGAAGAACATTAATTGTATATTCAACATTACATGATTCCATTAAACTATGCCTCTATTCCTAACCAAATAGAACATTACTAATCCACACTCTAACTCTTAACAGAAGAGAATCACCATCTGCGCAAATTACTCAACCTTAATCAATAACACTAAATAATCTGTTTAACTAAAGAATAACTACATGAGGAAGTCTATAAAATGATCGATTTCCTTATGAAAAATCTTAATTATCTACCCAAAGAATAGATCTTCCTATATTAAAAAACTTTTCGTTATTGGGCCTAAAAAAAGGCACTTAAATCTATTTTCTTCTAGATCTTCACCAGATACTTACAAGTATATTAATAGTATCATTTCATGTATAGGCTGTGAAGACAAGAGAAGAAATGATAAAATTTATTATTCGTAAAAGCATGAAGTACCAAAAGTAATCTTAAAATAAGGAATAAATAAAAGAAAAAAAAGAAATCAAAAAAATGAATAATGCATTCGTTAAGCAATTATTCCAAAATACTACCTATTAATAAAATTATTCTAATTTTCTAAGTATTAATATTACATCCGATTTAATAGATCAATATCTCTAATTGGCATTAAATGAGAATTAATAAAAGATTAAGAAATATGTAGTATATATTGTGCAGTTGATATTATCTGATCAAATTAATGTAATAATCTTAATTAATACTCTTATAGCAAGTGCTCAACTATAAGAGATTCCCTTGGCTCAATGATTGGATTAATTAATCAGTTCAAATAGCTTAAGAATTAGAAAATCCTTAAAACAAAGAAACTAAAAAAGAAAAATCTGATTACTCCCTAACGAAATGATAAAATTATAATTTTGTATTAGTTTATCAAATTTAATCAAAATAATCATTTTTTATATTTTAAATAAGATTATTGAATAATTATTATCATTATTAATTTTATGAGATTCCTTTTAACTTTTATAAAAAATCTCCTTAATTTACTAATTCTTCTAAATAATGATTTATAATAATATATATATTACAGGATTCTGAATTCTTTGAATAACATAAACCTTAAAAATTATGAATTAGATATCTTTTCTAATTTTATATTCATTTTAAAAGAAACTAAATAAAGAGAAGGACATTTTATAATACATTTCCTATTAAGTTTAAAGTAAAATAACAACATACTCGATATCGCATAAATAAAAGAGGATATTCTTTGTTTCACCTTCTTTTTAAATTAATTTCTTAACTTTATTTACAAATTATTTATTAAGTCTTCTGGAAAATTATAAATATAGATACCAATATAAAGATTTATACATAAAATGATTTGTTTAATTATTTCTCTATTCTTTTGCAACCTGAAAATTACTTGCAAATTAAAAATATGTTTAATAAAAAATATACTAAGATGATATATAAAGATGTATAGATAGAAAGATGGAAATTGTTTTATTTTGATTTTATTATTAAAATTAAAATGGGAAGTATTTGTAAATAATAAAGTCAATAATAAATTGAAATTCAAAACGAAGTTAAGTTTTCTAAAGGCTCAGAGAAAAAAGACTTAGTAAAACGAAATACTGAAACTTCTGGAGGAACTTAATAATATAATTAAAATAGTACTAAGCAATTTTCGGTTAAGAAAGATCCTTTGTCTAGTTATATGAATGTAAGTTTAAGTAATTCTGACTCTGATTCATAAGAAAGCAAACCTAATCAATAAGTTTTCACTAATTTTGTAACGTTTTAAGCTCTTCCTTCATAAAAATAAATGATACCTAAATTTGAAGTTTTAAAGGATTAGTTTAAAAATGAAATGCTTTAATAAATGAATTTATAACATCAGAGAAAACAATTTTGAATGATTTATAATCATATCTTACTTAATATATATATTTATAATTTTATATTCATTTTATAAATACTTAATCCTCATAATAAAAACAAACAAAATTTAAGTAATAAATAAATATGATAATAATCACAAAAACTCAAGATATCCTTATCTATGAATTGGAATTGAAGATTAATTTAATAGAGAAATCCATTCAATAGTTTCTCTATCACTTTCAATATAATTGGCATTAACATTCATAGCAAATTTCTTAGCCTTCTCATGATTTTTATTTGAATTTGCAATATTAAATAAAACTAAATTTATATCTTCTCTTTAAGTTTATCTTTTAATATTTTCTAATAAATCTTAATCTATATTTGTTGAAAACTCAGAAAATACACAAACAAAACTTTATATTATTTCTTTAAATTCTTATTTTTATTAAAATTATTTTGGTATTGTAATTGATTAATATGTTTATTTTATTTCATTATATTAAGATTATGTATTCAATTTATTATTTAATAATTCATGAAGACATTAAATGACTTTACATTCACCTCCTTTTAATATTTAAAATCTCTCAAATTATTTCAAAAGAAATTTTGTATATTATTTAGATTCTGATGCTGATAACATTTCATATATTCCATCATTAAATATATATAAACCTACTTCTCTTAAATGTATCAATTTTTACATTATATATGAACATATAGAATGTGATACTTATATTTATTCCAAAGATACTTTTGATGAATAGTCAATTAAAAAGAAGAACTTAAACTATTTAGAATTTATATCTAAGTACAATTTTTATAATACATTCTAATTAAGATCCAATTAGATAAATATAGTTTATAAAGTCTTATATGCAAAAGAATTCAATCTATAAATGTTCTAACTATTTCTTTTTATAATCTTTATACATTTTTCACTCGCTAATTAATATTCTTAATTTTTCATTAATACACAAATTTTTAATTTTCTAATCGCATTTTAAATTAATTCATTTGATATTAATTAAAAAATATCAAATCCATTTAATATTAATTTTGATTTCTCAGTAATTACATATTATTAATACAATATTTTTATTGTATACAATTCTAATTTAGCCTTATCAATCAAATTTAATTTTTAAAAACAACAAAACTTCATTACTAGTAATTAAATTTTAATTCCTATTATTGATTTGATTTCAGAAAACTTTTTCCTTGAAATCTCTTCATATAATTCACTTAATGAACGAATAGCTTCATTAAGTAAACTAGGCTATTCTTTTAGACAAAATTTATATAACATTCTACAAAATGTATATTTCCTGAATAATATGGTTAATTTGTAAAATCTCTTTTCCTCATTGTATCTATCTTATTATAAAGCCAATTCTTATAGTGAAATCATCTTATCCAAAGAATTCTCACTTTTTAAATAATTAGTCAAAGCCAATCTCTCAGATATCTATATTTATTAGACATCAGATTATTTATATGAATTTTACATCTTAATTGAATAAAATCGATTCTTATTTAAATGTTCTGAATGTAATATATTTGTACTCCCAGCAAATTTATTAATCACAAAACGTCTTAATTTCTATTTTAATTAATATAGTATTGTTTTCTAACTATTTAATAATTATTTTCTTATTTTCTCAATCTACTTTATACTAGAATATTCTTCAAATCCTAAAATTACAGATTTGGCTTAAAATTTAAGTGCTTCAATAAATCTCTTATTTTTAAAATGAACTTATGCAATATTATTTGCACAAATACTTACTTACCAATTATTTTTATGATATTTGTAAATTTCACTAATCTAAGACAATGTCATCAGATACAATGATCCTTAATCTTGATCAGAATAGAAATGCTATTTTTTTAATAGCTAATAATAATAGATGTAAACTTATAAACTTTCCTAAAGATGATTGATTTCTTTACAATTTTACTATTATGATCTTAATGGTATTTAATCAAAATGATATTTTAATGGATTTTGTAATTGTCTTGCCAATTTTTAAAGTGGAATACAAAAAGAATTACTAACTCTAATAGAAATTGCCCATACATATAATAAAAATGTCAAACTCACCAAACTTTGTGCTAAAATCAAAGATAAATTATGATTTTATTAATTTTACAAAGAACCTGCTAATTATTTGAATTTTTCAATATCAAAAATCTTTATTTATAATATTTCAGATATGTATTATTTTTCACATTTTATATTTTATTTCTATAAGGAATAAAACCAACCATATATGAAATATTTTTATAGATAATATTAAATTAAAGTGTTTTATAGTAAACAATCATTCTCATCAAAATTTTATTAAATTAATATTTATTCCATAAATTATCCATAATATTCTTCTAATTTATACTTTTCAATTAGTAAGAATGAATTTTAAGTGAATTAATAAAATTATTTATTAATCATAAAATAATTCAATTGATTTTGTTATAATTCATAATTAACATATTTATATGCTTTACCAACTAAATTTGAAATAGATTCAAATATTTATATATTACAATCATTATTAATATCATAGCTTATAATGAATCGAAAGTAATTCTAATATAAATCAACAACAACTTAATTTGTTGAATTCCAAGATTCAAATTAACTTTCTATTTGTTAAATTGAGTATTCAAATGAATCCTTACATATGATTTTAAAGTTTTCAATTGAACCCCTATTAATTAAAGGATGTAAAAACACTTTAATTTGTTCCAAGTTTTGATAGAGTGATAATTAATACTTAGACATCATTAAATCTTAGAGAATAAAGGCTGCATTGACTTTGATACCTAAATTTATAGTTTCTAATTGATGACGGAATCTTAGTGTAGTTTAAGTTGTTTCATTATAGATTGCAAATGATAATTGTTCAGCTTGATTAGAGAAGTTTGTAATAAATATTACATTTAAAGTTATTATTTGTAGTAAAGCAATAAAACCCACAGGTACAAACAATATTAAAATGCTCAACTTAAGTTTTACCTAAAAATTCATATTAAAATAAAAGTTATAATGATTCTTTAGATGATTATATTTACTATTTATATTTTAATCAAAAAAATATTAATCTAAAATCAAAGAGAACAATATAATTCTAATTTCACATATTGGCTTTGTTTATAAAAATAATATAAATTAAATATTATAATTTCAGAATGCCTTCCTTACCCATTTTAGGTCCTATTCTATAACAATGGTGGAAGAATTTAGGATTTGGTTAATAGTTAATACTATTCTTATAAATCACAGTCAGATTTACTGATAGGTTTTTTGTTCCATTATTGAATAAATTGTACAACTAAACTCGATTAGTTTAGAATGGAGATTATTGGAGATTATTCACAGCTCCTTTATTTTCAGGTAAATTAATCTTATTAAAATATTAGTGAGTTATATTGAAACTATTATTAAATGGCTATTGTTTTAGTTAATTGTAAATCCTTATGAAACTACTGTGGGAAGCACATATTTCATATTTGATTTTTTTTTTAAGAGTTTTGTATTAGAATCTGTAAATTTTCTGGTCAACTTTGGATTGAGTTAATATGATACTAACTATCAATATACTTTCAGTTATGGCATCAGTGGATTAACAATGTATTATTTATGCAGCAAGTATCAATATTTTCATTATATTAAGATTGCTTGCCTCTCCATATAGTAAAAGCAATTTCTACTTATTTTAAATAACTAACTATTACTTATTAGTCACAATCCCATTAGCTACATTTTTATCCACATAAAAATTAATTTTTATATTTGCATTTTAGATTGCTATATTTGAATGGTTTTTCTTTGATGGAATGCTAATACGATTATCTAATGTAATATTGTATTAGATTAAAAATAGAATTCTATAGAGAAATTATCATAGATTTTTGGTTAATTTAAAAACAAAAATTGTTATAAATAGCCATCTTAAAGTCTATAAGAACCTAAGTTATTTGTAGAATCTGCAAAGATTTAAGAAGGTATTTAAAAAGAAGCAGTTTAAGAATTTGGAGGTAGAGGAATAACTATAGGTACAGATTAGGAAGTAGAAAGATAATGGAGAGCTTAAGGTTAAAATAATTATTAATAAATATGAATAGTTGATTCATTTATTATTTTTCATATATTTCATATGTATTTTTTTATGGAAACTATGTAATTCAACTGAAACTTCAACTTAAATGTAATCAAAAATTCTGTGACGAATACCTTATATTATAATGTTCATTCTATCTATAATTTGAGCTTCAATAGTTCCTTCCAATCCATATCTAGGGATCATGACAGTTACTTTATCTGCCAAAATACCAGTAATGATAGCTTAATCAATCTGTTGAGTTCTATTTTTAAAGAATAGATATGTATGATAATCAGATGAAGCTCTACTAGCAAATCTTGCCATTCTATGTCTCATATTTAATTTATCACAAATTCTTGTCATTCTAATTTTATTTGACATAGATGGTGGAAGAGATTCTAAATCAATAGATGCAGCCAATAATCTATGAACAAGTACATCAGCATATCTTCTAATTGGTGATGTAAAATGAGTATAGAGTTCAGCAGCTAAACCATAATGATATAGTTCTGGATAATCAACATCTGCAGTACATACATATAAAGCCTATAAAAATAAATTATTCAAATTACTTCATTCATACATCTAGTAGTAATCATACGAATAAGTTTGTTAAAGAATGTATCATTTGGTCTTTAAATTTGGTTTAATGATTCACTAAGTAATTTTGAGGTATCATATGAAAATTGATATCCTAAATATTGTTATATATAAATAATTAACCTAAATCATTCATTAATATTTGTAGTTCTTTTAATTATTTCATCTTAGGTTCTTGATGTCTACGAAGAACTGAAATAGATGGAAATCTTTATAAGATTTAACTAGCAACAGAACAATTAGCTAAAAGCATGAATTCTTCAACAAGTGAATTAGTGTCATATAATTAATACATTCTAACATCACTAGGATTATGAGTTTCATCATCAAATGAAAACTTAACTTAATTACTAGCTAATGATAATGCTCCTTAATCTAATCTAAGTTATTTTAATTTCTTAGCTAACATATTCAAGAGTCTTATGCTTTAGGTTAATTAACTATTATCATTTGGATTATCAATCATTTCCTAAGCTTATTAATAATGTAATGAAGCAATAGATCTTATAACACTCTTACCAAATTTAACATCTTTTATATTTGCTTAATCATCCATTATCCAAATTACTGAAAATGCCAATCTATCAACATTACTAACTAATGAACATAGATTTTCAGTCAATAATTTTGGCAACATGTCTGTTCTTCTATCTACTAAATATACAGTTGTGCATCTATGAGCAGCTTCTTTATCAATTGCAGTATCTGGTCTTACAAAATGAGAAACATCTGCAATATGTACACCTACTTCATATAAATTATTCTCTAATCTTCTACAATGTAATGTATCATCAATATCTTTACATCCAACTGGATCTATTGAACATACTAAAATATCTCTTAAATCCATTCTTCTTTTAATCTCCTATTCAGATATTTTATATTTATCCTATTATTATTATTAATAAAATCATACTCCTTCTATAGGTAAACATGCCAATACTTAATGTGAAAATTCTCTTATTTCTACTTGATGTTCTAACAAAATTACATTTCCTTCAATATACATATCTCCTGCCTTACCCAATACTTTTTTTAATTTACATAATGGTTTATCACTCCAAATTGGCCAATCTACAAATTAAACTTGAATTTTCTTATCCTAAAGAGTATCATATTTTGAATGTTTTAAAATGAAATTTGGATATCTACCATCAGCAGGTACAAATATATTATTCTCTACATGACCACAAAAATGTCTCTCTGTTCTTTACAACACACATACAACCTTTCCATATGGAATTAAATTTTGTGCTTACACCTTCCTGAATAAACTTTATAAATGATTTGTAGACATTATTTCATGACTTGTATCATTTGTATGAGTATTATTATTACCATCATCTTCATCCTCTTCATCAAATGTTATTTATATTTACTTTTATTATTATTCCCATTAATCTTCTGGTAATAATTCAACAGCCACTCTATCTCCATGTAGTACTCTGTTTTATTAATTTATCTTTATTTCCAATTAAAATTGCTTTACAAATATCCTAGCTTATTTTATATTGTTTCTATCTATTGATATTCTTCCCTCAAATAATAATCCTTATTTTATTTGCTAAACACATTCTTCTACTTATATATAAGGGAATTAATTATTGATAGCTTATTAATCTTATTCATATTCCTCATCCATTCCCAAAAAATCAAGTAAATCATTATTCTCATATAATTTTACATAATCCTATATTGTAAAGCATTTTATATTTAAGTTCTTACTCTATTGATGCATCTAGTAATTTTAAGTCAACAAACATAAATCTAATTCAACCTTTAAAAATTATCTATGCTCATTGTACCATTTAGCCAATAATATTAATGGATTACCATTTTGTGTATGTATTGAAAATTCATCCTAATAAACATAAATTTTCTTTTAAAAATTTGATTCAATCAAATTTATTACTTATTATGCATACTATGATTATTACTATCTTTTTCTAAAATGAGCCACTTATGATTGTAATATCACAATATTATTAATATTTGATTATTCAATTAGATCTATATATTATTCCAAAATCTCATTATCTAACAAAAATATAGGATTCTCTAATTAAATCTCAGATTCTTGAGTACAAAATGCACATCCTCTAATCTGACATGGTATATCACTAGATAGATATACTTCTTTAGCTTAAATCATAACCTATAATCTCTTATTTAATCGTGGTTATGAATTTAATTACACTTTCATTAATATAATTAATACATGTATTACCTATTATTCTTAATTCCAATTGCCTTTTCAAGTATAAGCCCAGCAGATTATATTGCATAATCTGATCGTCCAAAGATTGCAGCTCATAGAGGACTCTGCTCAATCTTTCCAGGTTCTATCATTTCTATCATTCATTAGAAAACACCGCCCAATCATTTGAAGGTGCAATGTTTTAAGGAACAGACTTTATTGAATTAGATGTTGTACTCAATAAGGAATTACAATGTAATTTATTAAAACATTAATCTATCTAATAGTAATTGTAGCACATGATACATTTATGTCTTCTGTTTCTAATATAAAATCAATGCCAGAATTTACATCTAGAAAAAGAAAAAGAACAATCAATGGAGTTGTAAGAGATGATTGGTGGTTGATTGATTTCACTATTGATGAATTAAAAAGAGTTGGAATCAATTAAGTCAGAGGATCTACAAGACCTAAAATGTTTGATGGTCTTTTCACATATCCAACCTTATGGGAAGTTTTAACATAAGTAAGAGATTTCAATAATCGTACTGCTAATCAAAGAAATCCAAACAAAAAACCAGTTGGCATACTTTTAGAAATAAAAGATTACGAAGTATACATTTTATCATATGACGTAGTATCATTTAGAATACGCAGGAATATCAATTGTTGAATAAGTAATTAATGAATTATAAAACTTTGGTATTGGAACCATAAAAGATTGTAAAAATGTTGTACCAATTGTCATTATGAGTTTTGATATGAATGCTATTAAAGCAACAAGAGAATTAACAGATCTTCCAAGAGTATTCTTAATGACTGGATTACAAAATCAACCATCAACATTTTATGCTGAAGCAACAAAATATGCTAACATAATTGGAGCTGATTTAGCCTCAGTATGGAATCAAAAGACATAAACAACATAACCAGAAGTTTAACTCATTAAAAATAATTAAATGATGGTTTATGCTTGGACATTCTAAGATGATGCTACTGGAACCCAAAACATGTTCAATGCAACAATTGCCAAAGATATTTATTATCAAGCAGTGAAAATGAATATTCATGGCCTGATTACAGAATTTTCAGACGTAGCAATTTAGTATGTTTAATTATATTAAAATTAATGAAAAATTATGAAAATAATCAATAAGAACCTCACAAAACTAGATAAAATTGCAAAATGGAGTAGTTTCATAATATACTTATTAACTGGATTCGTGCTATTGGGGATTTCCTTTTTTTTCCTTTAATTGTTTTTTACCTAATCCCTATCAGTTTGCGTTACTATTTTCAACAGGATCATTTTTGATATTAATAGCCTTATTTTATATGATTGGATTTAAGGTTATCTATAATCTAAATGCATCTGTGATTAACTTTATAGCATAATTAAATGGTATATATACATGTATTTATAAAATTGGATATTGGACTATCTTAGGAATAAATTTTGTTCAAATTTCATCTTCCTTTCAATTTAACTTTATAATTTTATCTGAAGTTTTTGGAAGTATCAAAAATTTTGCACACTTAAAAAAAATACATGATTATTAAAAAATTATCATATTTTATATTAAATTTTAAAATAATTATCTACTTTTTTCTTTAATTTTTACTAATGAGTCAAGTTTTTTAGAAATATATTTAAAATTATAATTGATATCTTATGAAATAGTTTTTTATTATGAGGAATTTAATTCTTAATGTAAAAACTTCATCATTTATTGTATCTATTAAAATAGTAATGTTTAATTATAATAAATGTTCTAAATTACGCCTATTATCATACTGCAAAATGTAGCCAGTGATATCAATGAGCAAATATTTCAATATATTACCAATAGAGCAATTACTTTTATCTGAAAAATTACTAGAATTATTATACATTTCAATTTCAGATTATAATAATCAATCTATTTATTAATTTAAAATTGAGCTTATAATTTCTAGAGTAGTAAAAATCCTGTAGAAACTGGAGAAATTATTACAAACCAATTCTGTAATGATTTTTAATAAATTCATTTTTTTATGTAGAGAATATAAAAGTATGAAAAAAATACTCTAACTCACACATGAAATTATGAGAAAAAAAATCATTAATTTATCGAGGTGTTATATAATATTTGAAAAATATTTCTATTTGTATTTGTTTGATCTATATTATTGAAATACTTGAATTAATATTTGAAAAATTGATTTACATGATCAAAGTTTCTATATTGATGATGGAAAAAGAATGGCAAATTAAATAAAGTGAATGATATTTATTACTCATAAATCATGTGGTTAGAGATCATCTGCATAATCATCAATATCTTCAACATCATCTTCTTCCTCTTCTTCGTCTTCTTTGATCTCAATAGGATTAGCATCAGAATTAAATATTTATTCTTTAACTTTTTCATCATAAGCAGCTTATCTTTAAATTAAAGATTCTTCATCAAGAATTTGTTTAGGTTTTTCCCAAGCTGCATTAGGTGTTCGAACTAATCGAATGCTTAAACTCATATTTTAGATGTTTAAATAATTAACTGTTTTTCACAAAATAATTAATCAATATTTTTCAAAAATTAAAATGCAAGTCTCATTTTTATTCTAATCTTAGAGGAGAAAACAATTTTTTTCTTTTCAAAAATGACTAATATCATTTTTAATTTAGATTGATATTGCATTTTGATATATCTATTTCATTATGATAAAAAATGAATAATTTGGTAGGATTTTTTGAGAAACCATGAACTTATGAAAGATATTATAATATTATATAATAACCAAGCTATTAGAAGATAAATTAAAAAAATAGTTTATTTAATAATAATCACAAGAAAAAGAAATAAATATATCTAAAATTTATATCAAATTCCTAAGAATGACTATTCATTGGAAAATCAGATAATTTTCATTATAGTTTTAACGGAGAGAGTAAAATAATTTAAGTTGAACTCTTATGAATACTTTTAGTGCCATAAGATTATTATATATTAATTTACTTACTTCAGACGATTTTAGATTTATTATATGATCTTAATAAATGCTATCTTAGAACAATTTTCAACATAACTTCTTAAATTGTAGATTCCTTTGCTTTTTTGGGATAAAATCAAATTTTCTAAACTAAATTTGGATGTCTTAATGCTTTTGTAAAAATAAAATAATAATAAATGTATAATGAAAGACTTAAAATGTTTGAAAAAAAAATAATTTAATTGAATTTAGACCTGTTTTCTTTTTCCATAGATTAATGGGCTGTGGTAAGATAATTCTTATATATATATTGTGCTTAAATTTACATTTAATAAATATTAGAAAGATATTTAAAAAAAAACTTTTTAATCTATCATACTTTATTTCTGGTATCTTTAATTAATTTTTGAATTAATTTACGAATTGATGAATAAATAAGTTAATATAAATACATAACATTAAAAGATTTTCAGAATCTTTTTTAGTTTTTAAATATCCTTATCTTAATTACCATATCAACAGATTTTAAACTTATTATTAGTTATATAACTAACTAAGATAAAATATATGTTCATCATTCAATACTTTTCATTTACATATTTATGTTGAAACAGAAAGATAATTAGATTATCTAAAATCTTTAGACTAGATTTAGTGATTTTTAAGGAATCTGTTGAAATTGACTTTATTTACTATTTTTTTATTAAAGATATTATATAGTTTTTTATATATTTGTTATGATAAAAATATATATATAAATATATCCCAATCTGAATATAAATATTTAAAATATGAAAATTATTATTAAAACATTAAGTGGATAAAATTTCCCTTTAGATGTGGAAGGAACAGACACAGTATTTTATATATCTAATAAATTTAGATTTAAGTTGTTAAAGAAAAAATCTTTTAATTGAAATAATTTGAAGTTGGACAACAAAAATTATTAAGAAAAGGAACACTTTTGGATGATAAAACAACTATAATGGAATTGGGAATTTAAGAAAATGAATTTTTAGTTGTCATGATTAATGTCAAAGTAATTTCTTATGATTACAATATTTATAGAAATCTGCACCATAGCCAGCTTAGCAACCACCTTTATAATAACCAGCTCAATAATAGCCTGCTTAATTACCTGCTTAATAATTACCACCATAATAATAACCTTAACCTTAAGGGGCTTCAATTCCAAAACCAGCATCATCAACTGGAACAGATTTGTAAACTGGACCAGAATATGAAAAAGCTATTGCAGAGTTAATGTCTATGGGATTTTAAAGAGAAGAATGTGTCAATGCAATGAAAGCTGCTTTTAATAATCCTGATAGAGCAGTTGATTACTTATTAAATGTAATAATAACCACTATAATTAGGGAATTCCTCCTGGTGTTTCATCAAATCCAGCACCTCAAGTTGCTAGTGGATAAGGATAAATACCCCCTGGATTACCATTTGCTTAACTAGCTTAATAATTTAGATAAATATTTTAATAGAATCCTCAAGCTGCTATTTAATTATTACCTTAATTGCTCTAACATCTCTAATAAACCCATCCAGAGTTGCATTAATAAGCTTCATAAAACCCTGAGATATTATTATAACTTCTTATGGGAGCTGGATAATAGGCTCCTCCCCAAGGATCTATTGCATTAACTTAATAGGAAGTTTAAGATATTGAAACTGTACTTATTAATAGTATTCTAGATCATTGGGTTAGGTTTCACTAAATAAGATGCATTAGAAGGTTACTTAGCATGTGATAAAAATATGGAAATGGCTATCAATTATTTATTTGAGAAATAAGCAAATGGAGATTTATTTAGTATTTTGTTTATAAAACCTAGCCTAACATGTTTAAAGAGAGCAAACAAATCCCCAAAACTAACAGCCACCTGGCGGAAATGACGGACCAATGGACGAAGATGATGATGACGATGTTTATTAATGATACATTATAATAATTTCATCCTATTTCTTATATTGATTATTAAATGAATAATTTGATAATAAAACTATATCAATATCCATCTCTTTCAAATACATTGAAAAGCCTATTATGATTTTTTTTGCTATGTAATATGCTTTAAAATTAAATAAAGTTACATTACAAGCGAAAATTTTATCTATTTTTTTTTACTTGAGAGTAAGTAACAAGATGAATTATCTATTTGATTATAAATTATTTATTGGAACACCTCATCTATATAAGGGACCTCTATCTCATAAAATGCCAAAAGATGGAACAATAAATGTTGAATATATTTCAATTTGGATTCCTGATTTTTTTATAAAAATAATGATAACCATTATGAATACTACACTTACTATTAGATGAGTAGACGAAAGATAAAAGATTTGATTAAATGCCTTTTAAAGTGATAATCACTTTTACCTGTTGTGAATAGTGCTACTTTTTAATTATTAGAGTGAATTTCTTTTATTAATAGTTAAATTTTTAATAATATAAATCCAATATAGGTAATGTATTTAAATAATCAATTTTTTAATAATTTTAGCTCATATAGGAATGATATAAATTTTTACTAAATAAAATAATCACTATGGTTTATATAATTAAATAATAAAAATAATAATATGAATGATATGGATGGATAATTTTTTATTTTGAATCATTTTTTTTAATTAAATTTTGATCTCCACCAAGGTATTAAGCAAAGACTTTTCAATTCTACAATAATGTTTAACATCTTTGTCGAACTATACAGATGGCTCATTAGAAATAAAATAACATGACTTACAAAACCTAAATAGAGGTACTTTATCATAAAATATGTTTAGAAGCTTCACACTACTAGCATTTCTTATTTGTGGCATACTTAATAAAATATGCTATTGGAAAGTTATTCCAGATCATGATTACTCTGATGTTATAATCAATGTTTAATTTAATTTTGCATTTAAAAGAAAATTTTAGGATTTTATTTTATTTTTAAAGACCTCTTAATTTCAATTTTTGATTATTCTAAGCTTGAATTAATAAGCAAATTCTAGAAATATTTCAGCTCTAGATTATGATCAAATCTTTAAAAGATGAAAACTTTAGATTGTATAAATAATTACAGGAAACAAGTTAATTTTAAGGAGTTGAAAGGAAAAAAAGGCAGCTAATAAAAATATACTTCTGTAAAGTTTTAGAAGCAAATTTTATTGATAAATAATCATTATGTTTAGTTTTATTTTTAAATGAAAAAAGCACATTCTGAAAAACCTAGGTTTAAACAATTTTTTTCATGAAAAAATTTATGAAGCTGTAACTTCTAAGAGGAGTAGAAATTAAGGTTTACTAGAATAATTTGACAGTAGATTTTACCCCTTAGTTGACTTTGATTAGGGAATAAGAACTTACCAAAATTGAACTCTTCTAATAATTCTATGGGCCTATTAAATCTAACCAATAATCTTGTTTGGATTTGATTACTGATTAATTAAGTAAAATTGAACCAAAAGATCCTAGATTAATTATGATTTGATCTATTTTAGATGTAATAAATCTGGTCGAAGATACTTCTACAAGAGGATGAGAATTTTGGGAGGTAAACTTATAATTATTGACAATGATATTAAATTTTGATAATGTTACAACTTCTTGGAACATATAAAACACCTTAGAAAATCCTTTGTATTTTTTATAAAGATTCAAATAGGTTTAAAAAAAAAATCTTAATTCTAAATCCATTTTAAATTAAATTACCCTTAAATTTCTAATAATTTGAAATAAGAAGTATATTAAATCGAGTCAGAACTGATCAGAAATATTTTTTATAGTAAAAAATTACATAAATTAGAACATATCAGTTAAATAAAGAAGTGATTATTGAATAAAGTAAGGCAGGAAGACATGGTTATGTCATTCAATAAGTCCTATTTAGTATTTAAATCTAGGAAGAACCCTCAATTTAAATATGTATTATTCACTTATAGAATGTTGGGAATAAACTTGATAATAAAAACTCAAATAAATAATGGATGAACTAAGTGTTTAGAAAATCTAATAAATTGTACACAGACTTTACAATTAGAGGAAAGTGCATAAAAGAAATTTTTTTTAATTCATTATATTGAAGGAAATATTTAAAATAAGATAGAATATGTTAGACAATAATTTGTCAATTAAGTAAGGGTTGAGTATGGGACATTATTAAATCTTATGAAAATGGTATTAGATTAAAAATATGATGTTGTTTTCATTTTTAAGTTTTGCTGAGTTGGTTTTTTCAAATGAGCCTTCTGCCCTTTAAAATAATGATGTGAAAAACTTGTTTTAGTGTTTTAAATCCCTTGCCAATCATAATGGTAATTATATCGAAAAATTAAAATATAAAAATAGTAATATATTTATAGTCTTATGTAAATTATGCTATAAGAATAAGATGATAAATTATCGTATCAAATTCCATTTAATTTACTTGAATTTCTCTGAAAACTTGAAAAATTTATACAATGAATCAAAAGTATTATATTAAAATTCTCCTAGTGATCTTGTTAAATTAATTGATTTGCAAATTTTGATTCCAGGAATTTTCCCTAACAATTATTCATCACTCTAATTATCTATTTAGGTGGATTACCAAAAATTCTCAAATTAATACTGAATTTGGAAAATAACTACAGGTTTCCGAGATTTCAAACCCCATAATTAAATTGTCAAAGGACGAAAAACATTCTTAAAAAAATTAAAAATTATATAAAACATTTTTATTTATATAAACTTTATCCAAATGAACTTTTAGTACAAATATTTCAAACAATTAGAAGATTTATTTAGAATAGAGAACAAATGTTATTTTAGATATTTAGATATTTTTTTTAAATTTAGATATATATTTTTTAATTTCTTTTTATAAAACCTTAATTCCTTTAAGATGGAAATATTCATTATTTTATAATCAAAATTATAATCGAAGCAAGGGGCTTAATTCTGAATCTATATTATATTAATTTTGTAGATGATTGGTAATTATAGTGAATTGAAATTATGACTATTTCATTGAATCAACATTAATTATTTCTATTATAAATAGTAGAGTTTAGTAATTATGGAATGTGCTTATTAAAAGACAAGTCATTTTCAGATTAATATACATAATAGTATATATAAATTATGAAACTCATGAATGTATTCATAAATTAAAATTCCTTTTTATTTCTAAAAATTTTGGAATTTCTTTTACCTACTCTCAAGTTCGAAAACCTATAATTAATTTATTTGAAATAAGAATTTGCTATTATTCAATTATTATTAGAATGAATCTTTACTAAACATGAATATCTTCAGGCCAATTTTGTTTATTAAAGCAAACATATATTAGAATTGTAAGTTATTATATAATAAAATAACCAAGGAGAAATTTTACAGATAAATTATAATATATAATACTTCTAAAATTTTAACTTACATTTATTATTGGAAATTGTAATACATTTTTATATTAATTATATTTTATAATTCTATTAAAGTCCATGTATGTAATGATAAAAAATCAATATTTAATATAGATAAATGATGGAATACAAAGTTGAAATGTGTTAAGAGCACTCTTAAGAAGCTATAGTTGCCATCGATGAAGCTGAGTAAGATTTAAAAATAAGAAAATTATGTCTATAATGCTTAGCCAAAGGATATAAGAGAAAAATAACTTTACTTAAAGATTCTATAAATTAAGTGGAGGAAACTAAAGCTCAAATTAAATAAGATAGATAATGTTAACTCTAAAATAACTTAGAATCCTTAAGAAGCCTAGTTTAAAATATTGAATAACTGAAAGATTTTTATATTCAGAAGATAGAGACAACGATAGAATTTGTGAAAAAGTGGATCATCTAAATTTAAAATATGGAGGAAGAATTTATGAATAAAATATCATCTCATGATTAAAATGATATACAACAATTTTTAAGCTTTATTCAGTAATAATAGGACATACAAATTAAGGAATGACCTTAATTCTAAAGTAAAATTCAAGACATATTAATTTACATGAAAGAGCCTGATTTATTAATTAAATGTAAAACCATTTTATTAAATGTACATTCTATATCTACTGTATTTGAGAAAAATACTATAATTGAAGATGAAACTAATGATTTAATTGTATGATTTAAAATATTAATATAGGAACTTAAACTATAATGTGAGGATCATCCATAAAAAAAGATTATATTGCTCGATGTTGGTTAAGAGAAAATATGTACAAAACGTTTGGCTTGCGAAAGCTGCATAGATATTCATCCTTCATTACATTATAAATCAATTACCTATGTACATTCTCAATGGAAATAGGTATTATAAAAAAGACAAGAGAATATGAATAAGAATTTAGAATCAATGCAGTAAAAAGTAGAATCTATTAAAAATATGTTGTAATAGATGTAAAAAAGTATTAATTAATAATTTGTGGAATCAATATAGAAATTGACTTCTAAATTTAATTAATATGGAATTCAAGTGGATGAAGTTCAAAAAAAAATAAAAATCTCTTGGAAAAAATTATCGTAAGAAGATATATCAAAAATTGCTGAAGAATTAAGTAAGATTGATTAGCCCTCTATTTTTGATGATCCCCTATTACATGAATATACAACCTAAGATAATTAAGTTAATAAAATTGTGCAAGATATTCTTCTTTCCTTGTAAGAATCCTAAGCTACTCAATTTAATCAATTAAATCCATTTATTAAAGGGTAATTATTATAAAAAATGGAAAAATAATTATAGGGTACTTATGCTGGGTTAAATTAGTTAGGATATACCTTAAAAGATATTGATATTTAAAAAAAAGGCAAAAATTAAAACCAAAACTTATCATAAGAAAAGAATTAATTTACTTATGAAATAATTCAAGAAAGTGTAATTAAACAATATCAAATTTGCTGTGCAGTAGCTTTTAATAGAGATTGTTCATTAGTGGCTGTTGGATGTGATAAATAAATTAAGTTATATGAGTTTAAATAAGGAAGAATTAAACTAATTTAACTTCTTAGTGAACATTAAAATATTGTTACAACTTTAAACTTCATGAGAAAGGCAAATTAATTAATATCAGGAAGTTTTAGTGATGCTTAGATCATAATCTGGTTGATGAATCAAAAAAATTAATGGATTTGCTTATAAAAATTAAATGGGCATTCAAAAGGTATTTCCTGTTTAATTTTGAATAATAATGAAGATTTAATTATCTCAGGTAGTTTAGATAAGACAATTAAATTTTGGGTCAAAAAGAATAATTGGGTATGCTAATAAACAATTACTGATCACTAAAAAGATGTAAATGCATTAAGTTTAAATGAGAAATAAAATAGATTGATTTCTTGTAGTGATGAAAATTATATATTAATAATAGGATTTTCAAAAAAGTCTAAAAAGTGGATTGTTAAATCGAGAATAATAATAGAAACTTTTGGTATTAGATTATGTTTTATTAATGATAATTTATTTACTTATTAACCACATCAAAACGATTAATTGCATGTTATTGAAATAGATAATTCAAATAGAAAGTATTTCAAAACAAAGGTTGTTTAAGTGAAATTTAGTTAAAAGGATTGCTAGTGTTTATTTCCTTAACAATATATCAAGTAAAAATGCTTACTTATTAATAAAAATGGTTAATACATCAATTTATTGAAGAAGAATTAAAATGACGAATTTGAAATTGGGCAATTTATTGAATATTAAACTAGCAGTATATATGGGTGTATGAGTGATGATGGAGAGTATTTGATCACATGGGATGATAATTCAAAAGATATTTAAATTAGGAAATATTAAGAAAAATGAGATATTTATTAAACAATTTGAACAATTACAAAAAAAATCAATCCATTCATCCTTTGCTTTCAAATTATCAAATAATATTAATATTTCTTAAAATCCTTATTCAATCAAGAATCCAAAAACTTTTTGTTTAATGTTCAATATAAATTAAAATTTTGAGATAATTAGGCTAAATCATAAAAAATAAAACCTATTATTAATTATCTATTTACTGCATATTATAATAGCTGAATAAGTGATTAAAGCATCTTGATTATTATTAGTATCTCTCTTATCTGTAATATAAATGACTTGAAATTTTGTAATTCTACAATATATTTTTGATAATTTATTTGGGAAGTTTCTAATTCTGTATCAAGTAATTGATTATAAGTTTGGCTAATAATATCTTGGTTTCATTAGGTTTTCTCTTTTTTGATAATATTATTAATTTCTCATTAATTTATATTTATACATCTTTATATAATTTTCAAATCTGCAAGACTACTGATATATTTTATATATTTAGTATAATAAATTTTTATTATGCAGAACACTCCTTTTAAAATTTGATAAATCTATATTTTTAGATCAAGATTTGTAATAATAATTTGATAAAATCAGAAGAAATAATTGTTATATACCCTCAAATAATAATATACTAAATATTAGTTTAGATTCATATATTTTTTTTTTTAAATCTTTTAGGAGGGGAATGATACTATAAGATAGATATGATGCTTATGTCTAACTAATATAATGTTTCTATCTTTATAATTTATATTTTGTATATAGAAGTAATATTCAAATTAATATATTAGCCTTCCCTAGTAATAATAAAGAAATTATTTATCACAAATGAGAATTATTTGAAATAAAAATATAACTTATTCTACTTATTTGAATAGTTCTAAATGTAAAAGATTTTCATAGAATTTGGAATTAATTAATTAAAAATAATAAAAATATGAGAATACAGCATCATCAATTACTCTAAGCATAAACTTTAAAGGCTCTCTATAGCTATTATAAAACGTAATAGTTAGCATTATAATTAAGTTTACAATTAATAGAAATATGAAATCTAATAAAATCCTGACTAAATAATACAATAATTTTAATCTAGCCTATTATTCATAGACATCGAAAAACTATGAGTATTTATTATATTGATATATTTATTTCATAATTATTTAATTTATTAATATTTTATTAATTTTTGTTACAATTAAAAGCAATTTAACTTTATGTTGAAATTAAACTTAAAGTATCTCTTTTTGACCCTGAGATTGTATATAAATTTATTAAATCTGGATTAGTAATATTTCAACTTTAATTTTATTTTTCTATCAATAGTAAATAAATATTATATAATATTTTATTATTGGTTCCAACATATTGATCTTAAACATTTAAATACATATTTTAGATTTCTTTAGCCCTCTCATTAGTTTATATTATTATTAATTTAAAAATATCATAAATCTAATGATTATTATTAATATTAGTAATAATTTCTTTAAATTAAAAAATTATACATGCACAATGATTATTTTTCTATGTTTGAATTTTATTTTAGTTTTCTAAAGAAAATTGCTCTTTGTTGCCATTTTCTGATTACATTTTCTTCAAAATGTGATTTAATGGAACTTGAACCAAATGAATTCATAATGCCCTTACAATAAAATGTAAGATTGATAGAAATGGACTCTGATAACTTTGAATAATTAAATTAAATAAAATTTGTTCTAACTGAATAAGCATTTAATATCTCCTATTTAGAAAGTGAAAAAATAAGATCAACTATTATTTCTAATTTCATATTTTATAATTCAACGCAATAACAATGGATATGCAAACTTTTGAAATATTAATCATATAATATCCTTTGTAATAATCATATCAAATTAAATCCAACTAATATAGATGTATTGAATATGGAACTTTAATTCAAAGTTGATATTATGACAGAAGCATAATATAATTGTGATGAATTCTTCTAATGGCAAATTTCTAACTTTTTATTATTTTGTAGTTCCCAAAACATTATCAAAATATATTCTGTAGATATTTCAAATACTACTCTATTAATAACAGAAAAAGAGATTGATTAGCATTAATTTGATTAATGTATAAGAGAATATATAAAATAATCAGAAGAATAGTATTTTACTATTTTCTATGGTTGTTTCTAATGGGCAATATTTGAGTTTTCAGGGTCATCTTTAGATTTACTTATAGATTAATATATTATGTTGAATAAAACTAATTAAACCATTCCTTATGTTCAAAGAATTTAAATCTGCAAGTACTTAAATAAAGATTTATCAGAATATTATCTAATTACAAATGATGGGTATTATTAATTTTAAGTGAATAATAAAAATAAATAATTATATTGGGTATCATTTGAAAAATTCTAAAATATACAATAACTTATATTTATAAGTAATTGGTGTAAAGTAAATTATTTAATAATATATCAAAATTAAACTACTAGTATTATAATTAATGTACTAAAAAAAGAATTTGTTAATATTAATAGTAATGTAATTTAAGTGCATGAAAGCTTTAATCTTCTATTTTTATTAAGCAATAAAAGTTTAGATGTGATCATGAATTAATAGATTAAATAACACATCTAACTTTAGGCTAATCATTTATTTTTTTTAGATAATAATAAATATTTTTATTACATAGATGAACTTAACTCTTAAATTTCATTTTATAGTTATGATGATCTCAATTAATTTTTAATTCCAAAAAAAACTTATGTATTTAAGGTTTTATTAAAAGATTAATTCGAAATAAGTCTTCTTAATTGTTACAAAGTTAATATCATAAATAATATTGATAAGGCGATTATCTTTAATGATATCCATTTGTTAAATTCATGTTAAGAAGATGATTCAATCATTTTTGATAAACAATGTATTGAATTACCAGAACAATATGATTTTTAAGTATAATAGGTATCGATTTCTACAATTCTTAATATAACTGAGATTGTGGAATTTTAAAATAATTGTGACTTTAGATTTATTTCAAAAGATTCTGTCTTAATATATAAGGAAGATAATTATGCAATCTTCAAAAACAATCATTTTATCACAATTTAGGAGTGCATCAATAAAATTAATTCTAAAATACCAATTTAAACATATAGTGTATTTCAATATCGCTTATTCTTTTTGATTATCAAAAAAGGAGATAAATTATTTAAAATAATTTAATAATCATTAAATTATTAAATATCAGTTAAAAATGAAATTGAATGTTTTAGTTAATTTTAAAATCATGTTCTAATCATAACTAAAATGGGATAAAATTTTATGATTATCAGTATCAATAATTTAGGATAGGAAAAATTATCATAAATTTTAATAACTAAATTATTCTAAATTTATTCAAGAGAGTAACCAAATAATCATCCAACATTTTTCTATTATAAAAAATAAAATTATTAATTCATAGAATTTCATAGTAATTTACTAATTTATGATCTATATAATGATTAGATTATTATTCTACCATTTCAGAATATTTAAATTATATCAATAAAGAATTTGATAAATAATGTTTATTAGATTATTGCAGTACATCTCATAGAAGATGTAATTTTCTAATATATTTTTACTTACTCATAACAATTAATTCTTTAGTATAATTATACCATTATTAATGCTAAAATTTAAAGACCTTTAAAATTTAACATCTAAAATCATTAAACATAAAAAGAGGAATAAAGTTTATTAATCATATTAGTTGATAAAGATCAAGAACATTAGATATAAATTCTTCGAGTGAGTCATACACGGCCACTTAAATTAATAAGGATTATTAATGTAAGCATACCAGAATTTTTTATTGTTTAAACAATTTTACATTATTATGATTAAAATTTTGAAATTAGAGCTATTGATATTTTCTAATTTCATGTAAAATTGAAGAATTTAAACACAAATTAAAGGGATGCTTTTTCAAGTAACAATTTGACTTTTTATATTGTTTCAAAATATACTACAGAAAATGTAATTAAGTGTATATTTAGATTAAATTAATATAATTTGTGTCATCAAATATATAATATACATAATTAGATTGAGATTATTTTAAATAATAAACAAAAATAATAAATTTAAATTAATGATTTTTTTGTAGGACCTGTTGATAATTTATACATAACAAATAATTCATTGGTAAAACTTAATGGATTTTATTTATAACACATACCTATACTATTTTGTTCTTAATTAAATAAAAATAATTGTATTATCACCATCAATCTTAGTAACAAACTTTTGCCTGATTTGAACAAAAAGTTTATAGCTCATATTTTAAAATAACAAAATTAAAATATATTCCTCTCCTTAATAGATGAGTAGAAAACATCCTAAAAAGGTTAAAATATCTTATTAGATATATTTTTAATTAATTAATGGTAATTAGCTATTTTGTCATTAATTAAAAAATAAATTATTATTATTATATAAGATATTGATAAGGATACTTTTTAAGTTAGGAATGAATAATAATTTTTATTATAATCTAATTTCGATCATCATAATTATAAAATACATTTTACTGGATCCTTAATTCAAATTAAATAACAAAATCAGGAAATCTTATTTTTTACTAAAAATTATTACATCAAATACTAAGAAATATAGAGTTATTAAGAAGGTTTATTAACTGTTGAAGATTCTAATTAGTTATATATTGAAGTATAATCATACAATAAACATCTAATAATTAATATTTTAGAGTTTGATGATACAAAATTTGAATTAATTCATTTTGTGGAAGTTAACTTTACAATTATTAACAACCATTTAAATAATCATTTTAATGAAGATTTTACTCAGTTTTAGCAATTTATTTCAAATCATATACTTAAATCTATTTAAAAGAGAAATTAAATTATTTTAATAGTCTTATAAGAATATCAATTTTTTTCTCTCATTCTAAATATTTCATTATAGTTAAACGATACTTCTTTTCAATATGAAATTTAATAAGTTATTAGGAATCCTAAAACAATTAACAATATCAAATAAATATTTTATTAATACAATATTTTAATATTGACATCTGATAGAGAATAGCGGTATATATATGATTTGAATTAAAAGAGATATTTCTATGATTATAATTACATAGAGAACTCTACATCAAAATTAATTTGTTCTATCAATAGTACTCATTTCATATTTTAAAATTCAAACGAGAATTATTCTATTGGGTAACTAAATTATGAAATTGAACTATTAGAAGGGCACTCAAATAAAGAAACTTGCATTTTAGTTGCTGAAAATTCATTAGCTAAAACTGATATTAAATTAATTATTGCTATATAAAGTGTGGGGTAAATTTGGGCAATAGTTTTATTAACAATATCTAGTTTTTTAATATTATTATTTATCTCTATTAGTTTACTGATTAAAATTAAGAAAAAGAGAAATAATGTTTATTAGACATAAATTGAACTTCAAAATTCAATTGTATCAAATTTAAATTTATGATATTTTACAGGCATTTAAAAATAATAGTAATTAGTATTATTTTGTTTTTATCTAATACAATTAATTATTTGTATCTTCTTATTAATGAAATCTTTAAAAAATTTTATTTTAAGTTATGATCTTAACTTTCTTATTTTAATTCATCAAAATAATCAAATCTATTTTAATTTCAAAAACTACATAAATCAAACAAAATGAATTGCCAGTCAAATTTTTTTTCAGTTCAATAGATATGTTTAATTAATGAATTTGCTAGTTTCTATATCAATTTTGAGAATGTAAAATCTTCTTCAAATTAACTTATTTTAATCCCATTTATTACCACCTCAAAACTATTAAAAAATTTGTTGGAGTTTAGTCAAATATTCTTTATTATAATTAAGAATGATAATCAATTTTTTGCAATTGCTAAATGAAAAAATAATAATATGTCACTCATGTATAGAGATAGTGAAAAGACGAAAAATTATTGATAATATATATAATTATNAAATCTATTTAAAAGAGAAATTAAATTATTTTAATAGTCTTATAAGAATATCAATTTTTTTCTCTCATTCTAAATATTTCATTATAGTTAAACGATACTTCTTTTCAATATGAAATTTAATAAGTTATTAGGAATCCTAAAACAATTAACAATATCAAATAAATATTTTATTAATACAATATTTTAATATTGACATCTGATAGAGAATAGCGGTATATATATGATTTGAATTAAAAGAGATATTTCTATGATTATAATTACATAGAGAACTCTACATCAAAATTAATTTGTTCTATCAATAGTACTCATTTCATATTTTAAAATTCAAACGAGAATTATTCTATTGGGTAACTAAATTATGAAATTGAACTATTAGAAGGGCACTCAAATAAAGAAACTTGCATTTTAGTTGCTGAAAATTCATTAGCTAAAACTGATATTAAATTAATTATTGCTATATAAAGTGTGGGGTAAATTTGGGCAATAGTTTTATTAACAATATCTAGTTTTTTAATATTATTATTTATCTCTATTAGTTTACTGATTAAAATTAAGAAAAAGAGAAATAATGTTTATTAGACATAAATTGAACTTCAAAATTCAATTGTATCAAATTTAAATTTATGATATTTTACAGGCATTTAAAAATAATAGTAATTAGTATTATTTTGTTTTTATCTAATACAATTAATTATTTGTATCTTCTTATTAATGAAATCTTTAAAAAATTTTATTTTAAGTTATGATCTTAACTTTCTTATTTTAATTCATCAAAATAATCAAATCTATTTTAATTTCAAAAACTACATAAATCAAACAAAATGAATTGCCAGTCAAATTTTTTTTCAGTTCAATAGATATGTTTAATTAATGAATTTGCTAGTTTCTATATCAATTTTGAGAATGTAAAATCTTCTTCAAATTAACTTATTTTAATCCCATTTATTACCACCTCAAAACTATTAAAAAATTTGTTGGAGTTTAGTCAAATATTCTTTATTATAATTAAGAATGATAATCAATTTTTTGCAATTGCTAAATGAAAAAATAATAATATGTCACTCATGTATAGAGATAGTGAAAAGACGAAAAATTATTGATAATATATATAATTATTATGAAATAAGTAATTAAAAAAAATTCAATATTGTTAAAAGTATTTCAAAAATTAGTGATCTTATTAAGTTAATTTCCATGAAAAATGCTTATTCTAATGAGATTGAGAAAATAAGAAAAGTGATTATTCTTAATATCTTTAATAGAAAACAATTCTTATTTTAAGCAACATTAAGGTAAACATAAATGAACTTCAAATTTACACTGCTAATTTAAATAGAGCGATTTCTGACAAGAGAATATTTATAAAGGTTTATAGTTTTTACAACAATATTTATATATATCAAATAATAAGAATAGAAAAATTAATTTTTTTTGTTATTATAGGGAATAGAACAATAGAATATTGATTGTTATTTTTAATTTATGAATAATTATAAACTACTTATGGTATTTTTACTCGCTTTCACACTAGGAGGTAGTAATTTATGGGTTAATTTAGCTTAACAATATATTTCATTGGGTAGTAATCTAAAATTGCATAGTTTAAGTGAATTGCATAATTTAAAGACTACCTAATTAGAATGCGGTCAAATATTGAGAGAAGTGAGCACTTCGATTGATGTATGGTTAGAAATCCTAGAGAAATAAGATTAACTCAACATGGATTCAAATAATCTTTAGAAATTAAAGCTATCATTATAAATTTTTCGTGAAAATGGTTATAATGATGTAGAGCCTGGTAATAGATATGTTTATAGTTCAAGTATTATCGCAATTCAGAAATATATTCACAAAAATTATGGGTCAAATAAGTGCACAAAATTTAAGAAACACACCATTTTAAAGATGGAGAAAGGATAGTGTGATGGAATTATAAGGAGTAGTAAGTACATTAAATACTGTCGGGAATAAAAAAGACTTAGAATTATCGAGTGATAAAATAGAAGAATTAATAAATAGTTTAATGTAAGAGAGGGAATAAATTAGAAATTAATGTTAGAAAGGTTCATAAGTAACATTATTAATTTAAATTAGAATACAATCAAGATTATTGCTAATAAAGTCAAATAAATTACTAATGAATGTTCTGATAGTTTACAAATCATTGCTAGAATTAAGCCAAATGATGATGAAGGACAAGTAGTAATTACTGGAAAACCTGATGGTCAATAATAAGTAAAGGGTGAAATTAAATAACCTATTCATCCCACATAACCAATTAAACTTCAACCAGCTTATAGAGTTCTACAAGCTTCAACAGATGAGGGGGATGGTGAAGATTTTTTAAACTAATTGTAACTATCTGAATTTACTAATCAAACTCCTGTTTATTAAAAAGAAAGAAATAAACCAGAACCATTCACTGAATATGGTTATGGATATTGGGCTAAATTTTAATTAGCATATCCTTAATTCTTACCAAGTGGAAAAAATGAGATCTGGTATTTTGTTTCCAGATTGAGCGCAAATTAGAATGATTAAGATATCACTATGGGAGATAGGTTGCTAGCTATTTGGTTGGGTAAAGGATATTATCTTTTTACAACTTGTGATTAACCAAGTGATGAACCAAATAATCATCAAATTGTTAATTATCCTGAAGATTTTGATGGAATTTGGACTTATATTTACTATTCATACAGTGTTGAAAAAAAGAAGGCTGTTGCTTTTATCAAATTTGGAAGTGGTGATCTTATAAAGGTTATTCATTAAGTTTCGAATCCATCAACAAATTGGGTCAGATTCACTATTAGTGGAAAAGATTAAAATAGATATCCTGGGTTTAATGGTTCATTCTAATAAATCTATTTCAGTACTAACCAGGGTGTTTTTCTTGACTCTGAGAATTGTGATATTAGTAAGTTGTAAGAAAATACATAACCAAATGATTTCTTGCTTGAATCAATCACTTATACACTGGTCTCTAATCTATAATAAAGGAATGCTGATACTGTAGAAGTTTTTTCTATTGTTGGAACATCTGATAATCCCTAATACCCACATGAATACACATTCAGTGGTTGGTTCAAATGGGAAGTACCAGAATAATAATAAGAATGGCATAAGATTTTCAGAGTTCAAATTAAAGAGCCATCAACTGATGGATAATTGGGATATAGAACATTAGCTGCTTGGGTTGGAGAGGGAGATGGAGGTATCATTCATTTGGCAACTTATACATATACTAATTTGGAAGGTGGTGGAAATCCAAATGTTGTTTAAAATATCCAACACTAAAATAGACATACTGAATGGTTCTTTATATCATTTGGATATTCAAGACCTTAGAAGAAAGCGGTTGCTTCAATTCAATGGAAAGAATCTACTGATAAAAAAGAATATAATAATATTAGACACTTCCATGTACCTAAGTTCTTCATATATGTAGGTAAAGACAAGATGTACCCAGGATTCAATGGTAAAATTGCATTAGCCTCTTTCATTATTGGAGGTCTTTAAATGGTAAAAATTGTGGATTTTTAGCCCTTCATTCCTGGATGCTCAAATTTTATAAATGGCTTATGTTTTAATTGTTTTGAGGGATGGAATTATTTAGATCTAATTAATTAGTGTGTACCAATTTGTGGAGATAAAATAATTAAGGGAAATGAAGAATGTGATGATGGAAACATAATACCATTTGATGGTTGCTTTAATTGTAAATTCCAGTGTGCTAAAAATTGTCAAATATGCCGATTTGGGAAATGTATTTAATGTTTAATTGGTTACAAGCTGAAATCTTAATATTGTTATCCTATTTGTGGAGATAATTTGACATTAGATAGTGAATAATGTGATGATGGTAATAATGAAAAATTTGATGGTTGTTATAAATGTGAGTATAGTTGCCAAATAGAATGTTAATTATGTGTTAATTAATAATGCTTTTAATGTTTAGAAGGATGGTAATTAATTAGTAATAAGTGTGAATAAGTTTGTAATGACAATATGTTAGCAATATTATCTATTGAATAATGTGATAACGATGATGATATGTATTGTAATGGTTGCATATCATTATGCTAAGATAATTGTTTATCATGTCTTGAATATAATGAATGCTAATTTTGCAGAAATCCATTTTAATTGGTGAACGGAGTCTGTACATCTATCTGTGGAGATTCAATTGTAACAGTTGGATTTGAATAATGTGATGATGGAAATGATATTAAATATGATGGTTGTTACTAATGTTAATTATAATGTTCATTTGGTTGTATTTAATGTTAGAATAATAACATTTGTACATAATGTGATCCTAAATTTACTGAATTAAATATTAGTACTATGAAATGCGAATAAATAAAAGTTGAAATAGAAATTAATGAAGAGATTTTAGAGGATAATGATAACTAATGTGGAAATGGTCTACTTAATAGTCTTTATGAAGATTGTGATGATGGTAATATTGCAGGAGGAGATGGATGTTCTGCATATTGTAACATTGAAGAATCATTTATTTGTGAGAATGTAGAAGGCTCAATAAGTATATGCACTTATCTAGAAGCTCCAAAGTTTAAATTAAAATCACTCTCTGATAAAAAAAGTTAATCATAAATTTTAGAACTAAGCTTCTCTCAAAAAGTAAAATTGAGTACTGACATTGCTTTTGAGAATATTACTATTTTCACTGTTTTACCAACTATAAGATATGACATTAATATAATACCATTGGTCAAATGTTCAACAGAATTTAACTAATCTAAATATTAAATATCTATATTTTTTAGAGATCCTGTCAAAAACCCTGTTCTTAAAGTTGAAATTGAGAAATCCATGATTATTAATGAATTGAATTAATATTTGATGGATAATACATTAGAAATCAATTTAGGAAATCCTTTTGTGATATCTGAAGCAACCTAATAAACAGTCACTAAAATTGTATCAATGAATGATGCTATGATTTATTCGATGATATCAATTTCAGGATTAGTTTTGTTGACTGGAAACACAATAATGTTTTTGAATTTGTTAGATTTGTTGCAATCATTATCATATCTTAGATATATGCAATACTAATTCCCTTAACATTTGAAATAATTCTTGGACACTTATACTAAAATATCACTATAACCAATTTTAGATTTTCTATAAATTGATCTTATTTTATAAAAACTAAATGGTGGTACATTACCTTTTAAAAAAAAAGAAGTATAAATTTAGTTGAATACATATTTTTTAATGAATTCCAAAAGTTGTTATTTTTCTATTTTGTTATCTCTTTTTTCATACTGTGTCTTTTGTTTGATCACTAGTTCAAAAATGCTCTATTGGCTGTAGTGTTTAGAATAGCGATTTTGGGAAAATAGTAAATACTTAAGATTTTAGAGCTTTATTTAATAGAAAATTATTAGAAAATGCCTTCGATTGAAAATTAAGTATTTATCGTTTGGGATATTTCAAATGTATTATTCAATTCTTCATTAATTGATATTTAGTGCTCTTCTATAGTTTCCAAATTACACATTTGATTCAGCATTTAATATCTTTAATAGTATCAATGCAATTATTGCGCTTTTATTTATATTGTTCTCAACCATAAAATTGTTTTCAATAACTACCAATAACATTAAAGATGTAAGAAAATGGAAATATTTCTTTAATGAAAAGATTAATGGATTTTGGACAAAAAATTATAAATCATTTTAAATTTGCAGAGTGATATTTTATATTTTTAATATTGTAGCTTTTATTGATTATCCGGAATTATAATCAATATTACTCTCCATGTCATCAGCAATCTATTTGATTTATTTAATTTAGAATAATCCTTTGAGATCTTAATATGATTTCATTAAACTAATTTTTAAGGAAACATTCCTATTGATTATTACTGGATCTTTTCTTATATATAGTTTCAACCTAAGCAATGAATTACTCTTATTATGTGGATGGATACATATTGCTTTATTTTCTACAATGCTAGCTTCTAGTTTAGTAATAGACATGATAAATCACTTAATCAATGCTTATAATCACTATTAAAATCTAAAATATTAAAATGAAATAAAAAAAATATAAGAGTACTTTCACAATCGTTTACAGAGATTTATTTTGAATGATCCCGAAAATCTATTTGTCTAAAATAATAAATTGAAAAAATGAATCTAATAAAATATAACTTATTAATTTTAGACATAAATAGTTAAATGATATAATTTATATAATTATATAGATTGGCCAATTCATTAAAATTTTATAATTTTTGTTTGCAGGAAATGATGTGTTTTCTGTAAACTAACATTATTAATTTATTTTTTTTTTAACTGATTAATGAGCAATTTACTATCATCTGATCTATTTTATATGCCTTTCATCAACCATGTATATGAATTAATAGATATTATCACATAGACTTAACAAAATGATAATGAAAGATAGAAAAAATAAATCAATTTTAAGAGAAATTTTCTTTCATCATAATCACCATTTTTCTTTAGAAATAAATTAATTTAAAATCAACTACAAGGTATAAAATCAAAGTAATTTCTGTCATAGTTTTATTATTGTATTTGATGAGCCAAAAAGAGGGCTTATTGGATTAAATTTATTTTCTTCCTACAAAGACTTAATTTTATATTGTTGTTTTTTGGTCTTAGAATACTCAATAAGCATTATGATATTTATTTATCATAATTTCTAGTATAAATTTACCAGAAACACATCCTTTTCTGAAAACATAAATAATAAAAAAAATTAATAAATTAATCGTGTAGATGATTCAAAATAGGCTTTCTAAATTATTTAAAAAAAAGAAGGATAAATGAATTGGAGAGACCATATTATTGTTAATGAAGTCTTTGATTTTTATTATATATGGCTCAAAAAAATCAAGCTTGAATTACTTGTTAAACTTTATATAAAAATGTTAAAGGAAAAAGAAATCATTTGAATCTAAAGAAGATGACGATGCTCTAATAGTGAGAGACTAGAATCATGAAATACCTATAAAACAAGAAAGAAACGAGAGGTTAGAGACTAATGAAGAATAAATCTATTTCAATATCAAGAGAATGAGACTCGATCCTAACATTGTAAGGGGACAGGCTAAAAGGTGAAGAACTTAACCACATAGAAACCAAACTAATGCAAATGGAATATTGAAGGAACCTAAATAACAGTCTCAAGGACAAGTGAAAACACTAACTTATTGTCGAACATAATGAATGTTTATAATTCTTTTCTTGGAATGGATAGGTCAATAAGATTGATTCTCTGAGGGACTACCACTCTAAGCCATTATTTATACAATTGACTTTTTGATCTAAAAAAATAATGCTTTAATCTTTTGTCTTAAATTTTTTAAATTACTATTCTTGGAAATTATCCATTAATTAATTCTAAATCTAAATGAAGTTTCTGTGATCTTGTTTTAAATTTGAAAAATTTGGAAATAATCATTATTAGAAAATTAATTATTATCTAAAGTCATCCAAATATATCTCATGTTTTTATTTTATTTTTTAAATAGAGATGCCTATTCTTCTTTTCTGAAATATTCTTTATGTAACAGGAATTTTCAAATAATTTTCTTCATCAATTTTATTTATTGAATCTAAGATATAGTATATAGTTTTTTGATTATTAAATAAACTAATAAGAACAATTCTTTTTATTACAAAACCAATAATTACCTAAAGGAAGTTTTCTATCCATTTTTTTTATATTTAGTTATGTAATAGATTTCTCTTTTTAAATTGTTTTAATACTATCTTTCATACTTTAAAGGTCAACAGAATTTAATTAACCTAAACTATAGTTATTAAATACCATATTCTTTCTTTAAAAGTTTAATACCTTTTAAATTGTGAATTTAGATGTCTAATTGACATATCAATCCAATTTTTTTGAGTAAATTGATGTTTACCTTAATCCTATTTATAGAGATAAAATTAGAAAATATGATTTTTGTAATTAAATTAAACTTTCTTTTCATATTCTTAAAGTAATTTGAGCCTAGATCTAAGTTTATTCTTTAATTGATAATATAACGCATACTTAAAAAAATCCAAATTTATTATTCTTTGAAAACTGCTAATCATCTTAAGAAAGGTGAATATTTAATTATTGATTATTTTATCTCTTGATATGAAATTTGATTGTATATTATAATAATAAATTTACTTTTACTAGAATCAATGAATTTCATTTTAATAAGATTAGCTTGAAACATCTTATGATATTACTATAAGTAATTTATCGCAATAATTAAATTCAAACTAGCAACAAAGTTCTGTTTCTTGCAATTCAAACTGAAAGATTTCGTTTATTACTTGAATCATCAGTTCTTGAAATAAACGAAATTGATTCTTATAATATTTCATCAAATTTCTGGCAAATTTTATTCAAAGTTTTTTCTAGACTAATAAAATATAACTCTCGTATCTATTGGTTTTGAAAGATAAAAAATATTCCAAAGATTTTATAAATTATAGTTGAAATTGAAAAAATCATATGAAATAGCTGAAAATCATCGAGTAACAAAAGATCTATATGATCATTTTTTAAATTCAAAAGGAATTTTTATTAAAGGATACTAAAAATTAATGAGGAATCGAACTGGTAGCTATAATAATTTAGGTAAAATTATTTATTTGTCAAGAATCATTACNTGGAAATAATCATTATTAGAAAATTAATTATTATCTAAAGTCATCCAAATATATCTCATGTTTTTATTTTATTTTTTAAATAGAGATGCCTATTCTTCTTTTCTGAAATATTCTTTATGTAACAGGAATTTTCAAATAATTTTCTTCATCAATTTTATTTATTGAATCTAAGATATAGTATATAGTTTTTTGATTATTAAATAAACTAATAAGAACAATTCTTTTTATTACAAAACCAATAATTACCTAAAGGAAGTTTTCTATCCATTTTTTTTATATTTAGTTATGTAATAGATTTCTCTTTTTAAATTGTTTTAATACTATCTTTCATACTTTAAAGGTCAACAGAATTTAATTAACCTAAACTATAGTTATTAAATACCATATTCTTTCTTTAAAAGTTTAATACCTTTTAAATTGTGAATTTAGATGTCTAATTGACATATCAATCCAATTTTTTTGAGTAAATTGATGTTTACCTTAATCCTATTTATAGAGATAAAATTAGAAAATATGATTTTTGTAATTAAATTAAACTTTCTTTTCATATTCTTAAAGTAATTTGAGCCTAGATCTAAGTTTATTCTTTAATTGATAATATAACGCATACTTAAAAAAATCCAAATTTATTATTCTTTGAAAACTGCTAATCATCTTAAGAAAGGTGAATATTTAATTATTGATTATTTTATCTCTTGATATGAAATTTGATTGTATATTATAATAATAAATTTACTTTTACTAGAATCAATGAATTTCATTTTAATAAGATTAGCTTGAAACATCTTATGATATTACTATAAGTAATTTATCGCAATAATTAAATTCAAACTAGCAACAAAGTTCTGTTTCTTGCAATTCAAACTGAAAGATTTCGTTTATTACTTGAATCATCAGTTCTTGAAATAAACGAAATTGATTCTTATAATATTTCATCAAATTTCTGGCAAATTTTATTCAAAGTTTTTTCTAGACTAATAAAATATAACTCTCGTATCTATTGGTTTTGAAAGATAAAAAATATTCCAAAGATTTTATAAATTATAGTTGAAATTGAAAAAATCATATGAAATAGCTGAAAATCATCGAGTAACAAAAGATCTATATGATCATTTTTTAAATTCAAAAGGAATTTTTATTAAAGGATACTAAAAATTAATGAGGAATCGAACTGGTAGCTATAATAATTTAGGTAAAATTATTTATTTGTCAAGAATCATTACATTTAATTAAACTTTAGAAAAAATACATTCTTCACTCTAAACAATTAGAAATTCTCATTTGCAAATAGATAAAAAAAAATGGAGAGGCAATTTTTCATAAACTCATTAAAGTAAAATATTATTAAGTAATTGTAATGCTTTTTAAAATAATCATTCTAATTTTTATTTTAAGCAATCTAAAATATAACTTCCTTTAGATTTTAATAATGATCTTAATTCTACTCCTAAATAATTTTCAAATTCTCCTTGTAAAACTATAGCTCCTTTTGCTTAAAATATTGCAGACTAAGATATAAAGAGTGTTGTAATATAATTGGGGTATAAAAAATTAAATATCTAATTACTATTTTCTAAAAAAGGATAATTTTAAAACAGTAAGGTCTTAAACTATATTAAAAGATGATTAGAATTTTAAATTGATGACTTATATTCTTTTTCTGTTTTTATATCCCATAGACGGATAGATTTATCATAACTTCCAGAAGCTAATGTTACACCATCAGGAGAGAAACAGACTGATAGGACAGTACCACTATGACCATCTAATTTGGCTTTTTATTATCCTGTTTTGACATCCCATAAACGGATAGACTTATCATCACTACCAGAAGCTAATGTATTTCCATCAGGAGAAATACAGACTGAATTAACATTACTAGTATGACCATCCAATTTTGCATTTTCTTTTCTCTTTTTTACATCCCATAGAAGGATAGAGTTATCATCACTACAAGAAGCTAACGTGTTTCCATCAGGAGAGAAACAGAATGGCATTTTACAAAACTAATGACCATCCAATTTTGCATTTTCTTTTCTCTTTTTTACATCCCATAGACGTATAGAGTTATCATTACTACAAGAAGCTAACGTATTTCCATCAGGAGAGAAACAGACTGAAATTACCCAAAGCCAATGACTATTTAATTTAGCTTTTAATTATCCTGTCTTTAAATCCCATAGACAGATAAAGCAATTTTTACCACAAGATGCTAACGTAGAACCATCAGGCGAAAAACATAATGATAAGATTTCATAAGTACGAAAATGCAATACGGCTTGTTTTTATCCTTTTTTTACATCCCATAGACCTATAAAGTAATCCCTACTACCAAATGCTAATGTAGAACCATCAGGAGAGAAACAGACTGCTAAGATTCCCTCAGTATGACCATCCAATTTGGCTTTTTATTATCCTGTTTTAACATCCCATAGACGTATAGATTTATCATCACTACCAGAAGCTAACGTGTCCCCATCAGGAGAGAAACAGACTGACATTATACAAAGCTAATGACCATCAAATTTTACATTTTATTATCCTGTTTTAACATCCCATAGACGTATAGAGTTATCATCACTACAAGAAGCTAACATGTCTCCATCAGGAGAGAAACAGACTGACATTACCCAAAGTTAATGACTATCTAATTTAGCTTTTGATTATCCTGTCTTTACATCCCATAGACAGATTTAGGAATCCCTACTACCAGATGCTAATGTAGAACCATCAGGTGAAAAAGAGACAGATAAGATTCCATTAGTATGACCATCCAATTTGGCTTTTTTTTCTCCTTTGTTTACATCCCATAGACAGATGGAATGATCCCTACTACCAGATGCTAATGTAGAACCATCAGGTGAAAAAGAGACTGATAAGATTCCATTAATATGACCATCCAATTTGGCTTTTTATTATCCTGTTTTAATATCCCATAGACGTATAGAGTTATCATTACTACTAGAAGCTAATGTATTTCCATCAGGAGAGAAACACACAGAGTAAACATCATAAGTATGACCAACTAATTTAGCTTTTAATTATATTGTTTTAACATTCCATAGTAGGATAGACTTATCCCAACCACTAGATGCTAAAGTATTTCCATCAGGAGAGAAACAGACAGCTAAGACAGTTTGATTATGACCAACACATTTAGCTATTTATTTTCTAGTTTTTATATCCCATAAACGAATAGAAATATCATCACCACAAGATGCTAATGTATTACCATCTAGAGAGAAACAGACTGATCTAACAGTATTAGTATGGCCATCTAATTTAACTATTTATTATCCTGTTCTAATACTCCATAAACGGATAGACATATCATTACTAGCAGATGCCAATATATTGCCATCAGGAGAAAAACAGACTTAGTTGACTTAACTTTAGTGACCAACCATTTTATTCAATTCATGAATTTTCAAGTTCTTCCATTTACAGTTCAATAATAATGCTCCATTTAAATTCATCCCTTCTATGTTAACATTGTTAAATTCAGATCCACTTAAATTGCATCTAAAAAAATTAGCTCCCACCAGAGAAGTATTTTAGATCTTAATATTTTAAAAGTTTTTGTTCCTAAGGTCCACCTTCATCTAAAGTAGTATATGTAATGAATTAGACCCACATTAAATTAAAGTGTTATCTATCGATGTGAGATGAACTAAAAATTGCAAAAATTCGCTAATCTATCTTTTATTCATAATGCTTTTAATCAGATCTTGTATTGATTCTTAATTTTCTTCGCTGGAAAAGTCTTTTTTATTAAATACATGATTTTTTATTTTTGTTAAGACATCAGCTATTTTTTCCATATTATATCTACAATCATACTATTTCTAATCCTTTTCAACTTTTGTTAAATTCTCTTTTTTAAATAAGACTTACTAACTTTAATTTCTTTGATATCCATTTTTTTAAAGATATTCAATGGAGTCTTGGACCTTTTCCTTTCGAAGTATTTCTAATATGACATCAAAGATTTCTCCATCAACATCTTTAACTGATGCAAAAATGTCGGTTAAAGTTTTTTTCTCTTAAAAAGCGCAATGCATTTACTATGATTATTTTAATATTCAATTTTTATTGCTGTGACTTTAAGTTATTTATTGCAAATCATTAATATCTTAAGCATTTGTTAAAATATAAGCTAGAATTTTAGGTAGAATTAGAATTGATTAGAATTGAGGTAAAATATGCTATTGAGAATTAAATTTTCCATTTGGATTGCTTTTATTCTTCAATTTTATAGAATATCTAATTCTTAGTTTTTCATTCATTTTTGTTACTAAAAAAAGGTTTAAATTTTAGAATAATTTTGATTTTTAGAAAATAAGATTGATCTAGAAGTTTGGATAACATTTGATAATTCTTTTTTTATCAACATATTTAATTTGATGTATTTAACTTGAAAATAGTCTGAGTTATTATCGATATTCAAATATTAATATGAATTATTAGGTTTGACCTACAGTTCCTTTATGTCTTGGCCAGCTTCCTTAGCATTAATCACATGTCTTGAAATTAGATTCTCAAGCGGGATATCTATTTTTATTGAGAGAGATTGATGAACAGAAAATGGACAGAATTCATTTGGTTGAATTCCAGCTTTCAACTCTATATTTTGAGAATCATTAATTAATTGATAAGTCTCAACTTAGTTCCAAATTTTTTCTTCTAATGACAGGCCTATTCACTATCTTAATACTTATTAGGATTTTTTCTTATCTAGTAATTCCTAACATCACCAATACTGGTGGCAGAGCATTAAAGAGTTTCAAAAGTAGTGTTCCATTCTAGTTTAGTAGTAGTAGAGTGAATTTTCAGTACTGTTAACAAAAATCTTAAAAAAGATAACCTTAACTACCAAAGTATTTTGATTTCAAAATGAAATAAACTTACAGGTGGGATCTTTTTTAACACCAAGGTAAGGATAGGATTTTCTTCTCTTTTCTTCCTAAAATCCTAATACCTCAACCACTTTTCTTAGGCAAAGACAATTCGAAATTTCTAAGAATTTTTGATTTATCAGGTAAAATGCCCTAATGTTTTCAGAATTAGGATATTTAAAGCTAGAACTTGATTTGATATATTATACTATTATCTGGACTAATATTTTTGGTGGCTTTTACCTTTGCTCGATTTGGTCATCCATGATGATGTGGTTTCTAAAAATCTTCCAAAAGATCCAGCCGAAGCTTTGTAACTAGGTAAAGAATCAGAGACATCATCATAAACATGACCTCAAGTGCTAGCAGACATAATCCTCTCTAAAGTTCTCACACTTATGACGCCAAACCCTCATGATAAATTTTGAGTAAATATTTGTATCTTCATTAATGACACTGTAAAAGAGTTTACTTAATCAATCTCAAAAATGAAAATGTGAATATTTATTAAAATAAAGGACTTTATAAATATTCAAAAAAAAAGAACTTAAAACAAATTGATATTCTACAGGAAATAGATATTAAATTAAAAACATAGTCATTGTAAAAATCATAACATAAACAAATTTATTAAATTAAAAAAATCCCCATTAAAACTCATTACACTTTTGTAAACTAAAAATTTTCTTGTGATAGTTAAAAAAACCATTGAAGATACAATTATTTTTTTAACCTTTTTGTGATTTATTTAAGAGATAACTGCTATAAATTCAGTTAAGGAAAAATAAAACTATAAATTCGTCATTTTTTCATGTTTTGCAAGATGATAATTATTAGTTACATCCTTTCAAATAAAAACAAAGGAGAGAAATTTATTATTGATTAAATACACCAATCTTCCCTAATACAAAAATCTACATAAATAGTTGATACTTAAGTATTACCCCTTGTCTTTAGGTAAGATAGATGTTTTTTCATTGATCCTATAAGTCAAAGGAGAAAGACCTCCTCCAATAGACTATTATAAGGTTCATAAAATAAGAATCTAACTCTAAAGATCCCCATAACCTAAAATTCTCTAACTATCTAATCTTAACTTTCACGAATTAAAACCTCCAAGATTCACACTTATATAATCTATAAATTCATATTCTTAGATGTATTATATTAGGTAATTGTGTTAATATTTATATATTACTTTATATCAGATTAAGTCAATCAATCCTATAATTGGGAACTTTGCTCTTGGAAATATTAATGAACTCTTGCTCTCTATAGTTGATCAAAAGTAAAAAAAAATATTTATCCTGTTCGAAATGTCTCTTCTTAAGCCCTAATCCTCTCAGTATGAGTCTAAAGACCATCACAGCAATCTCACATTTGAGGTCCCAGGCGATATGGTTTGAATTGTTCCGCGTTTAATAACAACTATTATAATTCAATTTTAAACAAGCTGCACATTATCATTATAATCTTAATTAACTATTTTTTTTTTACCCAAACCTTTAGGCAATCATTAAGATTTTAGATAGTTACTAATATTCAATTTACTATTCATCTATAATATAAATTTTGATGACATAAGGAGGCATTAGTTAATTAAGTTAGGAATATTTTATTAAAGATTATCGAGATGAGTATCTAGAAACTAATGATACTCGAAGAGAACTAATTAACAAGTATACACATAAAGATCAAGTTTCCAATATGATTATTTTTATCCAGAAGGAGTTTAATTCATCATTTCTAGATTTAATTTAATAAAAAGTGTATTATTAAAATTTCTTAATTTTAATCATTCTCTCTGCAATTTTAGATTATGCATTTTTTAATATATAACCACCAAATCATTAATTCATATATTTGTAGGTTAGTAAAAAATATTGTTTGTTTGCGAATCATAAATTTTGATATCAAAGTAGGGTTATGAAATTTTTTAGTTTCACAATTTATTTAAAGTCTAATATTTTTTGAAATGAAACAATATAATATGGGTTTTATATATAAGTATCTGGTTTTAATTTAAACACTAGAATTTGGGACAAGTTCTTCCTAAAAAAATGATATTCATAGATTAAATATTCAAAATTTACACATTATTCTAATATTGATATAATCAATCAGTTATAAGTAATTAGACCGTATTTGCATAAACCTAATAAACTTCACACTTATTTTAGAATTTATAGAAATATTTGAAAATTAGAATTCTTGTTGCTAATGGTTGTATTAATCAATCAAATTCTTGAATGTAAGCAAGATCTTACATTTTTAAGAAATTTAATAAACATCAATTATTAAAATTAACTTAATGTAATGATATATAATATAATTTTTCCATCATAAGTATTAAGCTCATATTATTGATTTTTAATATTAGAACTATTTAATATACTCATGTAAATAGTCATGTTATTGGGTGAAAGCTCACAATTATCTTTGAATTTATTTGAAAAAAAAAACAGGATTGCGAAAATAAATTCTGTAGAATAACAATTAATTTGATATTCTCAAAATTCTTTTCAAAAATTAACCATCTCAGAATCTTTGTTTTTTAGCAAACAAAAATATATATCTGGATTGTTATAAATTGAGATAAATCAATGAAATATGCATATCTACTCATATAATGATCAAAAAGGAATTGCAAAATTAATTGAATCTTGAATAAGCAGCAATTTACTTGTAATTAATTAAAGATAAAAGATTTTTTAAGGAAATAATTTATATTAATTTATTTTAATTATTTTTTTCAACTTTTCATATTGTCAACAAAAATTTCATACTTATTAAAATCTTAATCACCCATAAATAAAAATTTTATTCTTAATCCCTCTATAATGACAACCAAAATAGTTTTGACAATATCTGATTCTTTATTAAACCTCCTGACATTTTACTGCATAATTGTATGGGTAATAAAGTCATTAATTTGAGTTCTCTCATTGATCAATAAAAAAGAAATATACTGTACCTTTTTCAAACCTATGTTGAAATGAATAATATTAGATTTCCATAACTATTTAACAATAATTAATAACTTTAATAGAAATATTGATTTTTCTTCAATACATAAACATTAAAATTATCAAATTGATCTTCAAAATGACTTGGATTTGAGATCAATATTTAATTATAACATTCCAAAAATTAAGTATTTAAAAAAAATCATTATTTAAGCATTCTGTTATTAATTTTATAATGTATCAAATGTTTTTATTAATTTTTGTTAATCATAATATTTAAAAAAAATAATTTCAGATGCTTCCTTTACTTGTATAACAAGTTCAAGAATTTAGCTTTGTATGAAATTAATATTATAGCCCAAATTTATCATTTTTAGAGTTAATTTGGAAATTTTTTACTCCATTTAAAGTACTTCTTTTTATTATTCTAATTTAATTAATATGAATTCATTAAATTAGAAAAATAAAACACTCGACAAAAATTAATTAATTAATAAAACCTTTTCACTGAAGTGAATAATCGAATTAATAAAAAATATTTCATTTTTTCAAGGTCTATTTATAAAAATGAATCGAAAGAGTATTTGATTTTTGAAGAAAGATATTAAAAAAAAAAATTGTAAAATCCAAACTCATCTTCATTTAGTAGTTTTAAGTGGCATAATTTATAAGATTTCACATTGATATTTCATTAATTTTTAATTTTTTAATGAGAATGATATAGCTATTTATTTTTATTCAAATCTAAAATTTAATGTTCTTTATGATAAACGTGACTTTAGATATTAGTGATTATATTTTATATTCATTTTCTAATATATCAATCTGAGCAATTCCGTATACATATATTAGTTTACTATATATAAATTAGTCTTTAATCTGTCAGAAAGTGTTTTATTTGAATCATTCTTTGATAAAGGATTAAAATTTTGAAGATGATTAATTATATTGCAAATATTAAGAGGCTTTTAAGAAAGTTTCATTAAATTTTACAATAATAAATCATTTTTTAAATGATATGTGTATTACATTTCATTTAATTTTAATTTTTAAGAATTACTGTATAAAATTCCCTTAATTAATTATTATGCTAATCAAGTAAATAACAATTGGGGATAATTTAATTTTCCTAGTTATACAATTTTTCTGAAAAATTCATTATCAATTCACCACAAACATAACTAATTGAATTAAAGTATG